AGGTACAGGTTTTTGGAAGTTCCAGAGGTTTGTGCAACTTATTATAATTGTTCTCACTCCTTGCTATGATATGATCTATTATATCTCACAAATTATTATTTTTTAAATTAAGATGAGTAAAAGAGATTTGTTGCCTGTGAAATTTACTCATTCAGAAAATAATGTCTGTTCTGTCAAAAAGTAGCATACTATATCTGAAATTGTGTAATGCGTGACTTATAATGACATTAGGCTTGTTACGTTTGTTTTGTGGCACTTACTATTATTAAAATATTTAATAAGAAATCATGAGGGAAAACATCCACATTTGGTGTAATGATTAATAATGATAATACTGTAAGTCACTCCATAATATTTGACATAGTATGGTATTGCTTTCTATATTTATATCTGTTCACTTAGTCTGAAATCTGCTGTACTTTTTAAGGATCATGCTCATGTTTATTTTTTTGTGAATCATAAAGGTCAGTATAACCTATTAGTATTAGCTTTTCTCCCACCTCCTACAAAATCAATTATTAAAGAATGCATGTACAGTTGTAGTTTATTTTGGACCATCAGTAGAATTTTTACATGAGTCTAATAAACCTGTTCTTACTTAGTTTGTGTCATACAATTTCACCTCATGCACCATGCTGTATATTGTAATGGTGCAAGGTATTATATTGTACAAACTGCCTTACTATAATGCAAAAAAAAACCACCACCTTTAAGCCAGTATTCATATGTGCCTACTACTATTCAGTAATATAATGACTCAAAATAGAAAATCATTTGAGTGCAAAGCCAGAATGGAACTAGGTCTATACCCCTACTTTTACGAACAGTGCCTTGGGATCTTTAATGAGCAAGCTACCAGCCATGTTTTTGAAAATACTACCCTGGCTTTGTTTAAGAAATGGCTGGATGAGATCCTTCGATCAGTTAGCCGCTAGTAGCCAAAGAAGCTAGTTGAGCCAAATGGCCTCCTTTGATTTGTATCTTCTGTTAAGTTCTGTAAAGTGGTCAGGAGGACTTGGTTTATCGACTCATCATCATCATCATCATAATAATAATAATAATAATTTTTAAATGAAGAAATAATACATATTTTTGTACAAAGTCTGAAGTGTAGAATACAAAAGGAAACAATATGCGGAAAGAATTAAAACTATCGAATAGAAAGCAAGATAAGCAGAGAAAAATGAAAAGGTTACTCGTTACTGTATGTCAGAGTTATCTGGCCCCGTTTGGGCACTCATTCTTAGTAGAAAATATATCTTGGGGGTTTCTGTGTGTATAAATTCCAAGGTCATAAGCTATAGATTATTTAAAATCGATTTATATATAATTATTAATTGTTCCATTCCACTTTATGCCAATGTGTCTCAGCAATCATTAAATACCTAATCTTTTGTGTAACCTGAAGATACATTACATTTGATACTTATTCAAAAAGTTGTTTTCCGCACCTTTCTTATGAGCAACAGAGAAACAATATAAAATTATTTTGTAATTCTTTTACCACGCATGTCTAGTTCTGTCTCTAGCACAGGCCAAAAAAAAATGCAAGTGCACGATTTTCTTTCTTTTCTCATAGTTTGATTCCACTTACTCTGGAAGAATTTGGTTGCACACACTGATTTGCAATGCAAATGCCCTCTCTTTTTCATCAGGCGCACAATTTGGTGCCGTCCCCTGTTTGCTTTGTTTGGTCTCAGTGTCTGCCAGTCACTGTTGGTGAAGATGTTTCAGGAGCATTGTCACAGAGCCCTGGGGGTGTTGTGCTGCCAGCCATTCACAAGTCCTTTCAACACACGGTCACAGAGAGCAGCCGTGCAGCATTCTGGTGCAAGGGCCATCTGGGAGCAGGTGATCATCCTTATTTAGATGTAGCAGGAGTCATGTGACACAAGATGGTGGAGAAGCCGTGTTTGTATTGAGCTGCTGCATCAAGGGATGCTGAAAGTACTCTAAACATCACATGCATTAACACAGGGGAAGAATACCTTCTTTAGTCTTAAAAGTGGTAAGTCTGCTTATTTAGCCAATGTGTAAACGTGCTGGTGCTTAACAGGGATCTTTGTGTGAAAGAAAATTGAATTGCATTTGTTCAAATGATGAACAATTTGATGTTTTTTCCTGGCAGAATGCAAGGCATCTAATTTCTCATTGTTAAAATCCAGGCAGCCGTATTAATTTCTATTTTTAGTGCTTAGTGAATAGCAAACAGCCTTAACCCTGAATGGGATCTGAATTTTTTATATTGAAAATTAACATTTATATTTGAACACAAGGTATTTTTTACCACTGCTGATTATTCTTTTACAATATCATTTTTTTATGTTTCGTACTAGGACTGTACCTTACGTGAAGTAAACTTGCTAATTCAACTCAGTTTTGTTTAGTTTCTTTGTCTTGTCTTATGTATATTTTTGATTTATTGGCTCATTTCAAAGAAATGTGTGCTTGCTGACATGATGTGATTCATTTGAAATGTGATGCACTAGTTCTTGCAGTTAAGATACTCTACCCGAGATGCAAAATTCAGTTGCTGACCTTGAAGCATCTTCTTTCTATGACCAATATTAGTTTTGGACTTAGAAGGTTAAATTAACTCCAGCTGTGCTGCAAAATGATACCTAAACCTAATTATGAAAGTTGAAGTTTATCTTTCATTTGCCTGTAGGGAATTTGTATGTGTTTGGATCTTTTGCCATTTTATAATCACAGAAACTCACTGCATTTTTAATCCTGCTGACTGCGGTCTCTATGGTTAAATTAATCTTTCAGATGTGTTTAAAAACAAGCTTGTCTGGTTTGAATAGGGTTTCACGGACAAACTGGTGTTAACTATTAATGGGAGTGCATGTTTACTAGGGTTTATATTAGATTTAGCTCACAAATATCAACAAACAATTGATATTATTCTGAACACATGATATTTGCTCTCACAGCAGCTGTGTTGTTTTGTTGTTTCTGCCTTTAATAGTTTATGTGGTGAGAAAAGCCTTGTTTTCCTCCAATAATTATTCCTGGTTCTTTTCCTTGGTAGTGGTGCATTAGAGGTGCATCGTGTTGTTTTGATGATGTGTACAAACTGATCCACTCCTTGAGGCCACTGCCACAGCTGTTGGATTATGCGGTTTACATTTTGAATGAAGCATACATCTGAAAAACATCTGAGCTAGGTGGCCACTGCACTTTTTGTGTTTTTTAACAAACAAACAAACAACAAGGCAGACAGCTGTCACATCTAGTCAGAAACTAACACAATATCATTTTATGGTTATGTGAGGTCTAAATAATATGCATTATACTTAATAAATGATAAAGGATATGGTATACTAGTAAATACAGCACAATTTACTTTTTTGTACATTTTTAAAGCCTTATTTAGACATTGATTTACTTGTATTTTATTCAAAGATGGGATTAGTATCACCAAAAAGGAACTTAAAATATTGATTTATGACAGGTTAAAGGTAACTGTTAGTTTAATGTTTACTTAAGAAGTGCCTAAACAATAAACAATTGGCTTGACGAGAAGACAATTTTATTCAATTATACTTGCAGTTACTACATACAGTACACGATTAGATGATCTTAGTGTCTACTAAGGTGTGAAGTTAAATAATTACACATTGATGTTCTGTTTCATTCTACAGTACACATTAAGATTTACTCACAGTTAGATTTGTGGAGAGGGATTATCTGTTTAGAGATTAGTAGTCTCAGTGGTCACCCTGTTATTGGATTACTGGCTAAAGTTAATGAAATAAACTGAATAATTAAATGCAATACAAGTAGCTTCCCATAATACTGTCTAATGCTTTAGATTATTTCTTGTAAATCCATAAATCAATAGGACATTAATTAGATTAGCAACAGTTCATATTTCTTTGCTGTTACACTTACAAGTAACCATTACTAAGTGCAGGGTTTATACAGTATTAGATTAAGGATGCAAATATCAACAAACAAATTACATTATTATAGTCAGTGTGTCTGGCATTTTGGCAGTAGACAATATTCTCACAGATCCCTACTTCCGCTTGTCACCATAATCATTTTTGCATGGTCTGAAAACTGATTTAATTGGAAGTTATAACAAAATAATCTTCATGATAAAGACAAACCCCGAATTCCAACCAATTACAGTATAATTTCTCTGGATTATAACTGTAGGCCTATCCGAAATGGCACCACTCTAACACATCCACTATCACCAGTGCTGCAGCCCTTTGGGTTATTATAGAAGAGTTTCTTTTTCCCCAAAGGCTCATAAGTATGCTTTATCACTTGAGTTGAGAGGGAATTTAAGGTAGGCCAGATTGTGCAGGTGCATAATGAGTGCTGCATGTTACTCAGGTAGGTGCTGCACTTCAGTGGTGCATAAAGAGAGTCCCCTACCAGATGTAAAATGGTCTGGGATCCTTTGGAATGAAAATAGCTGTATAAATGTGATAAATAGTTACTATGTTATCATAAACTACAAATAGCTATGATTTACGGAGTTTGTAACGAAAGTCTAGGAGGGATGACAACAACCACTTTCAATCAGATTTAGCTGTCAGTAATTAGCAATTGCTCCTGATGTCATTTCCTCTCTTGAAACGCCATAAGTACTATACTGTACGTGTTCCCCTTCTCTCTCTCGCATACATCTTTTTGCATCCCACCTCCCTTCCAGCTCTACCTTTGCCGCCACGCCTTGGACACTCCTCGCTCTGCACGAGGGTCTTAGTCCCCTTGTCCTCTGGCCAGGAGGTTAACCCTCAGCCACGCAGGTTAAGCCACATTTTGACTGAACACTCCATAATCCATTGAATACACTTAATTCTTGTTATTCCTGGTGAATTATTTTTTAAACTGAATGCAATATTATTGAAGGATAAAGAGAAGAAGGCTCCTAAAGATTTAGAAAATACTTGGGTTTTATTCACAGGCTACAAGTGAAAACATAAACATTTTTATTCAAGGTATGGTAAATGAGTTGGTATTGTATTCTTTCTTGGTAGATCAGTACCAGAGGATGTGGGAATGGACATTTCTCAAGAAGATGACATGCTAAGTCCCGATGGATCTGACAACAGACCAGGTTTGCGTGCAAAAAAAATACTGAGCTATTTCAAGCAGATTAAATTACAGAGAATTAGGCTTTCATGAGTCATGAGTCAGCTTTAAAATGTAGATTATCCATGTGGCACTTCCTTTGCTTAAAGGGGATGCAATTTCCATTTGCTTTTTCCTGTTAATCTGTTTTGTTTTCTTCTGAAATATTCAAATGTGAATAATTCAGTTTTCTGTTGAGGAATTTATAAATGTTATCAAAAACAACCATACCTTAAAGGAAGTATTGAAGAGTTCTTAAACATTCAGTTACATCCACAACAGAGAGAACTGCATGAGATTTCAGCAAAATATTGTATAGAAATAGGCAAGCTCCAACATAACAACATACTATATAGAGGATAATATATTTGTGGAGCATCATGTTGTACCTTCTGGAATCAAGGATATTTGTTTTTCTTTTAATTTGAAAAATTAAGTCAGTCACATTATTTGCTTGATCCTAGACCCCCCTAGTTCTCTGGACCTAAATGGAGCCCATCCACAAAGAAAAAAACTTGCAGCTCCTGAGATCAACCTCTCTCTGGACCAGAGTGAGGGTTCCATCCTATCAGATGACAACCTTGATACCCCAGATGACCTGGACATTAATGTAGACGATCTTGACACTCCTGATGAGGCAGATTCTCTGGAGTACACAGGGCATGGCACTGAACTAGAGTGGCAGGGTGAGTAGAAAACCGTAGTCTGTCTTTAGCTTGTTAAAAATTGTTAAAGGTTTTCTGTCTGACTTCACTGCTACTTAACAATTCAGAAGTTTTGCCAAATCCTGATTAATCTACTTCAGCAACAAAGTTGATTAGGATAAACTACTATACAGTATGTTTATTTAGTATAACTTACCTGGCTGAAAAAATAGCATCGTGACGGGGGCTAAGGACAAGCCTGACAGGATCACAGAAGAAACCAAAGGAATCCCTTAACACCGATGCAGAGTTCATCAAGACCAAATGTGTGGTATTCAAACGTTTGGTTGATTTGGTCAGTTTGGACTGGCTTCAGTGCACTAACTCTGGATTCGGTGGTAGAGATGGGAATTTCACAATATGCTGTGGAAGATGTTATGATGACCCAGAAGAAGTAATCCAGAAGCTGTTGAAGCTGAAGTCAGCTTTGTTAACCCAACACAGAGGTGGTGTAGAAACCAGGGGTCAGTACAATTGCTGATAGTCGTCAGTTGGACAGAGGGTCTGAAGGAATGACTGACTGAGATAATCATAATTCCTTACATAGCGCTTTTCTGGACACTCCACTCAAAGCCCTTTACAGGTAATGGGGACTCCTCTCCACCACCACCAATGTGCAGCCCCACCTGGATGAAGCGTCGGCAGCCATAGTGCGTCAGAATGCTCACCACACACCAGCTATCAGTGGAGAGGAGAGCAGAGTAATGAAGCCAGAGTGTGGAGAGGTAGAAATCGAAGTGCTGTTTGTTCGAGGTGGATTGACCTCCTCCTAAGCATATATTTATAAAACTCCAACAGATGTTTTACTTTGGGTTACATTTTGTTTTATGTTTGAAAATATTTTGGTGAAGTTGCATTATTTGACAGTTATAAAATTATTAACTGACACCTGAAGAAGGCTCCACGGCTGAAACGTGTTTTTTTTCTTCTTCTTTTTTCAGCCTGGAATAAACCTATTACTTGTTCCTTTGCAGCCTACGCATGCTGACGCAGCTACCCACCTAAAATTATTAATGTTTGTTTTTATTTGAAAGACTGAGGATATTATTTACAGAGGATATATAAGATTAAAATACATAATAAAGACTAAATCTTATACTCAATGTACATTTATGGTTTCTTTTAAGTAGCTTAATTTCTTCCTAAAATAAACCTATATTCAGTACACATACTGCATCTTTAATTTTTTTTAAAGAATAATGATTATTAAGAATAATGACGATAAGGAATACCTGTGTGTTGTAAAATAAGGTTAATGATTACTTCACTTCTAGTCTTAGCAATTTAAAATCTTAAGAGGTCATTCAGAAAAACTGCACAATAATTCCATATGACCTTGTTAAAACATTGTGATGACTATTTTACTTTTGTATTTTATAAAATCAGGATAAATAAATTCCAGTGAGGGAAAGGGGGTGTTGTGACTGTATTGCCTTCCATTATGGTAATGTATGGCATGGTAATTCAGAAAGAGTACCACATAAAATCATTAAGTTTAAATGTTAAATATTTAACATTAACACAAGAGTAATACTCTTGCCCCTTTCTATGAATTATAAAACAGTTTTTATTTAAGCTCTCTTGATAATACAGACAGGTGAAAACTGTGGTAGTCATTCATTTGATCTTTTTTTTTATCAAGGTATGTAAAGTACAGGGAAACAAAATGTTACTTTTTGCTAGGTTACACAATAAGAGAAAGCAAAAAAACATTTGACTTTCAGATTGGTCTGATTCTTTTTTTGAACTGCTAAGCTTCTCTGTTGTAGCCCAGGGAGTGAGAACTTGAGTCCCAGTACCACTGACTGCTTGTTCCCAAATGAGATCCAGTGATTGTCACTGCATTTTCTTTAAAGTGCTTTTTATTTTTTAAGTATAATTAACATAAATATTGGCTTTACATTGTAAAAAGAAAATACTGATTGAAGTTTTCTTTTTGCTGGCACTAGTTTGTCAGCAAGTATGTTATCAAATAAGGAAAACATTTTTGAGCATTGTATGCACCTTAAGTACAGTATAGGCTACAGCAAAATAGCTTTAGAATGTAATTTTCTAAGGATTTTAGATTATTTGAATATTGTGAAAGATTTTTGCCTGTTAATGTTAAACTGACACCTTAAGTTCTTTGTCATGCCTTACAAATATCATTGACAACATTCAGATCAAATTGCTTAATGCTGCAAAGTGCAAAGACCTAGAATGGTAAGAAAAGAATATACAGTATTTTAGCATAATAATAGTGTCTAGTAAATTATATCCATACTGTTGAATTATCAGCCTTTCACATTTTTATATTGCATCAAATGCCCACTCCATCAGAGAGGACTCTTATTTTTAAAGTTTTCGTACAGTATGTGTAATTTTTTTTCCCATACAAGATTGACCAGACTGTACAGGATTAACTAACGTAAAGATATAATTCACCCTTAAAAGCATGGAGCTACTCAAAATGTGAGATTTACTGTACATGAAGTAATTAAATATACAGTAAGTCTGGAGTGTTTGCTGCATGTTATTACTTGTAATTTTGATTGAAGCCTTTGGCAGCACTTTTGAAAAAAATGTTTAAGGCAAACCTTAATTATTTCATGATGTCTGTTTCAGTGCTGAAGGAGTGGTGAAATTAGATCTTTGACTAAATACTGCAGCTTGACTCAATATAATTAAAAACTAATGGTGGACACCCAGTATTTGTAGAGATGTAGAGACAGTTAAAAATATAATATATATTTACAATTGGGTTTTTTATTAGCATGAATAGCAAGCTGATCTTTTTTTATTTGATGTCTGCTGGAAATAAGATGTGTACCCATAGGTTACAGAATAAGAGAAAAGAAACACAAAATTTCAGCATTTAAACTTTGACATATGGATTGCATTAACATACTCCAACAGGATCTTAATACTGGTGCCATGGAACTCTGACAGCAAAAAGCATTCTATTCTAAAGAGAATTGGGGGGAAATTATGAAGAGTATATTGTTTTATATGAGATTTGAAAACATTTTTGCTGTTGTGGTTGAATGAGGCTAAAATACAGTACATCTGCTTCATGGACACAAAGTGCCTAATCCTTTACAATGATTTGTGCAAATGGCTTTATTGGCACATGATTATTCATAACAAGGTACACTTTCAGATGAAAGCTACTGTTAGTGCATAACTCCAGGTAGAGAGAAGTCAGGTGAAAATGATAGAACATTTATTTTGATAATCACTTGAGAGTTGCGTAGCACTGTAATTTTATTTTGGTATATACAGTATATTGCTATATATTATTTTTATAGTATGGTTTGGTGCGTGGTTTAATGCACATTGTTTTATTGTGTTGAGTAATTGAAGTATTTTACAGTAGTGTTCTTTAGCCTAATTCAAGTCAAGCTATACACAGTGATCAAGTTTAAAAGACTTTGAGACACAATCAGGAATTATAATATTTGTAAGTTATGAGCAACATAAATTGACTCAAAGCCTCTCTACTGTTCTCTACTATCACAACAACTTTGACTGTTATCAAACAGCTTAGGTTTGGTAATAAGAACTGAAGTTTGACATTTAGCCATCTTTAATTCAAATTGGTCAAAATCTTAAAACCCTGACTTGAGATAAACTATTGACATGATTAATTATGAAGTGAAGCAAGAATGAGAGTGAAGAGTAAGAGAGAAAGCAGGGGGGTCTCTATTCTGGAGATTGTACCAATGCCGTCTCCTGGGAAGAACAAGGTTATATACCCCGCGCATGATCTGCTTGACTTTGGCAAACCAAAGGAATTGGCCTCTCTTTTTATATTAATCTTTTTATTGCAGGCTTCGAATAAACACTTATAAGTGGTCACTATTTGGAAAACAGTCTTGATGTCAGAAGCTGTTTCATTAATTGGTATAAAGTCTGTCTCCAAACATCCTAGACATCATATAATCCACTTGTTTTGACTGCATGAAGATTAATTCATATAAATCTAACTCTTAGTCCTCTGTGGATACACTGTATATACAGGGGCCACTGTTGGCACTTTTTTACATGTTTTAGGATCCATCATCCAGAGGTGGGTACTTTCTGCAAGCTTGTTTTATTTTTGTCTATTGTTCTCAATATAGATATTCCCTATTCTCAATGGTATACTTGCTACATGACTCCATTCTGGTTCCCCTCCTGAAACAGAAACGGATCTTGTTGTTTTGTCTGACGTCAGCTAAAAAAATGCTGGCACTGCAGTGGGAGCTTCCACATTCCCTCTCCTGGCATCATTGGATCCTGAATTATCTGTGTACTACTTAATAAGGAGCTCTCTGCTGCCTGGATTCATGGTGTCCGGGAGGATGGAGCAGAGCAGGGCAGGACTTGGTTGTGTGGGATTTCTCCTGCAGCTGTCTAGCTTTGTTTTGGAAGTTCATTTGAGGACCGCTGAGGGTGTGGGGAACTATGGAGGGGGTTGTGTTATGTTATTTGCTCTGTTTATTAAAACAAACTGAAAGATATTTTATTTTATTGGTCAAGTATGAAAATTACAAAACAAAAAAATGCTCACAAAATTTTTTATCAAAGTGACCTGGACATGTTGTAGCAAAATCTGCTGGCCCAGTTATTCTGGAATGGGGTGTGGACAGTCCAGTTGCTTAACTCACCAGATCTGCGGCTCTGCATGTGAATGTAGGCTGTTTTGTGTGCTGGAGACAGCTGATTCTTGCCTTACACGGAGAGCTGTACCTACTAAAGAGCAATAAATTGTATTCTTCTGTGTCTGATTATTCCTAATAGCCCCATGAGTGATAATTAGAACCATAATAGTTGTATACTATATGAGAAATGTATTCCAAGTATAGAAATGTCACATGTTCTCCTGTTTTATTCATGTAATATCCTTCTCCATAGCAGAGCAGAAGGCTGCAGAAGTTTCTAAGGAAGAAGCAGAACCCATCCCAGAATACACTGCCGAAGAAGAACGTCAGGACGCAAGGCTGTGGAGAACAGTAGTTATTGGAGAACAAGAGCACAGGATTGATATGAAATGCATTGAGCCTTATCAGAAAGTCATTTCCCATGGAGGTGAGAAAGAGCCCACATAGATGAAGTGTGTTGTGTTGTAATTAGACGTAGTCTCCTTAGTTTAGGTTGTTGATAGTGGGATGCTTTTAGGTGTGACAGTTCTTTAATTTGTGTTTTGTGAGACTGAAATGGTATGGTAGATAATCATTCTTTTTTTAGTGGAGGAATAATATTCAAGCACAGGATGTAAACACAATTTACATCATTAATGATGTGTCAACATCTTTGATTCTGTTATAATCTCCAAAAATTGTATTTATCGCCTTAGAGTTTTATGTTACACCAGGAAGCTACAGTGTAAAGTACAGTTAGTACAATTATACCAGTACTGTATGTTCTTATTATAATTTTTAGAGCAGGATTAATACTGTGGTTAAGTGTTTAGATTTACATTGACAGAATAGCTGGGGACCATTTTTGTGGTCCAGAAAAAAAAAGACAACTTTCCAAAAGGCCTTTGGATTTGTCTTCAGTTTTGAACCTTGAAGAGGAACTAGTGTTTTATTAAGCATTTAGTCATTTGCAATTAGTCATTTATAATGAGGATATCAGACATTGACTTATTTTCATAATTGATATTTGAAAGTGAACAAAAACATAATAAAAAACTATTAGTGCTTCTTATTTCAACAGTGTCCTGAGTAAAAGTAACTGTGCAGTAAGTTCCTTATTTGATTCACATTGAACACAAATAGTGGAAAAATTTAAATCCCAATTACTTGACTACTTATCACACAATGATATGACATTTGTTCTTTCCTATAAAATTATTTTCTGTTCTCTGAAAATATTTTGAAACAAATCAGTTTTTGTCCTTTTTTCTCCAAAGGATACTACGGTGACGGTTTTAATGCCATCATTGTGTTTGCTGCATGCTTCCTGCCAGACAGTAGTCGAGCTGATTATCACTATGTTATGGAGAATCTCTTTCTGTAAGTATAAAATAGCCCATGGAGGCTCCCTCTCTTAAGAAAATCAGACTGCAGTGGTAGTAAAGAGGAGTCCATTGGGCTTGAGGTACAGACTGAAACAGAAAATTACTGAGTTATGTAGAAAGTATTTGCCTGAAACAAAAGAACGAAAACCTAATTACGTTCTAAATAAGATAAATGCTATTATGGTAGTTTTATTGACACCTGCACATCCCGAAAGACAACTGAAGGACAAATAATTAGATTAAAACCTAAGAAAATTACAGTGTTAATAAGTATATTTTTACCTGGCATAAGAAATAAGAGTTGTGCTCACTGTATGGTAAAGTTAGAACTCCAGTGCTCAAATTGATTACTGTGCTTTTGCATTTATTTAAATGTGGGATAGTGTACGCAAATGCAAACTCCCCAGACTTTGAAATCAAATTTGGTTGAGCGCTGCACTGAGTTTACTTGTAGTCCAGACATTACTGGTTTGAGCCTGGGCTGTGCCATTCATTGACTGTGACGTTGTACAAGTGGAAGAGCTCAGATATGGCTGGGTGGGATTGATTTTGTAAAGGTCTCCTCAGCTTTGCGGCAGCAGTTCCTGGAATCTATCAAGTGCTGCCCTGCCAGCTGGTGTTAACTAGTCTGCAAGCCACTGCAGAGCTTCTTCACAATGTCCCACATCTCTGGCTATGTTTTCAGACCCTCATTCTCCTTGTGTAGTACAGGCTTTGTTGCCATAAACTTTATACTATAACTGTTGGCCATGGTGCATTGTGTAGCTACAGTATAAGATAGAAAATATAATTTGTGTCCGACAATTTCTGACTAGATAGTACAAATGTTAACCCCTCCTCTGCACAAAGAATATTTCTGGACTGTGTGTGAACAAATGACCCAATGTTATGCTATGAACTAAAATTAAAATGAAAACATGTTCAGCAAAGTTATAACAATCTTTTCGTTGAGGGAGAGGCATTAATGTCTCTTTTATATCTTACTGTTTGAATGCTGTTATAACTTCATTTCTGTCATACAGTATATGTACAGTATGCAGGGTGCTACAGTATATTTATATTTATAATACATTTAAAAAAGACACTCTTTTCTATAGTGTGCATGCTAGCAGTAATTCCCTGTAACTGGCAGTTACATTTGACAAGATGTTTCTAAAGCTGTGTAACTCTTGCTTGTCCTGTTGCTTCAGGTATGTGATTAGTACCCTGGAGCTCATGGTGGCTGAAGACTACATGATAGTCTATCTCAATGGTGCAACACCTCGCAGAAAAATGCCAGGGTTGGGCTGGATGAAGAAGTGCTATCAAATGATAGACAGGAGGTAATTAATGATTGTTTCAATTTACAGTTTACAGTCATAAAATGTGTTCTAATTTACTTGAGAAAAAGAAACATTTTGTTTTCCCTGAAGAATTTATATAGGATGAGAAATGAAGTAGAAGGAGAATCACAAAACTATGGATGAAATGGCAAACTAATTAATGAGATTTAATCTTAATCGGATCTGTTTTATTTTGTCTTTTAAATAAATAAAGACAATGAACTTCTGTCCTTCTGAGACTTGAGGGCTGATTTGTTGAATGTTGGTTATTTGTGACTGGTTATACCCCTGTTTTTTTGTGTGTTTTGTCCTTGATCTATCATCGTCATAGTTAAAATGTATACTTCTGATTTTTTTTCTTGGCAGTTTATTCTAATAATCATGGCTGGTGATTTGCTTCAGAAAAGTAGTGTAGTTTTATTGTAATGTGAAAACTTGGTGGAAAAATAACATTGAGAATATGGAGGCTGTAGTTTTTTTTCCACATCAGTATTAAATGTAGTCATAGCATACAGGTATAAATTGTGAGCTTAAGCAAAATGTTTGGTAAAAGGAATATCAGCAATGTTATCATGAAAAAGGACAGATGTGTGTGGCATATAGGAAAAAAACTGGGCAATCTGTACTGTGGATTGAATTTCTAACATCACAGAAATTGAAATGATTTGAGTTTATTTATATTTTTGCATTTAGACTAAGGAAGAATTTGAAACGCTTTATTATTGTCCACCCATCTTGGTTCATCAGAACTATCCTGGCTGTCACAAGACCTTTTATCAGGTAACGCTGAAGTGTTTCTTAATTTAGCAGAACAACTCAATGCACTGGAGATATTAGGCACTGGGACATTTTCTTATGTGTAATTTGAAAACTCTGTTAACAGTTCAAGTTTCATATCACTATTAAGTTCACCTCTGTTACAGTATCTGAACCTTGTAATTATACATCCAATTGGCAGTTTGTTAAGAGAAACCAAGTAAGTACATATTCTTCTGAATGACCGTTTTTGTAGTCTTCTGATTAGTCTGTAAGAACATTTCTTTTATGTGCTAAAACAGATCCTGATGGGAATTTGGGTGAATTGTATTCACTTGTCTGTGAATTCTCTTGTGACCATTCTCATTTGTTTCATCCTAGTTCTAAATTCAGCAGTAAGATAAAGTATGTCAATAGTCTTGCTGAACTCGGTGAACTGATCCCAATGGAGTACGTCCACATACCAGAGAGTATCATTAAGTAAGTAAGAACTTAATGTAAAAATGAAATTTGTCCAGATATGTTTCTTGACTATATTATGTTTAATTTCTATACAGAAAGGATAATTTGTATACGCAGTGAATAACATAATAGTTATGTGTCTCACACAGCTACAGAATACAACATAATGCTTATACAGTATACATGTATGTTTATAAATATTAGTATTATAAATGGGGATATTGAGGCATGAGACAATGCTGGGTGTATGATTCTGCAACATTTAAAAAACTAAAATAATCCTCCTTCTCAGTCCTTGGATGTAAGCATGAGTGCATTCATTAAGAAAACGAGAAGATAAAAATTTCTAAATTATTTAGAACTCAGAACCTTGGAAAAAGTTGTAACCAAGGCCTTTGTCTTAGAGTGGATCAATATATAATTTTTACCTGTTCTTTTCTTGTTTTTCCGCAAGAAAGCACAGTTTGTTTTCTGTGCAAGCTTCCTCAAATATCCTCAAGCACGCATATTTTGTAAATATTTTGGGTGTTACAGTGAAATGGGCCTGGTATAAAGTTTGTGACCAGCTAACTCTTCCTTACAACCTCTTTCCTGGAAGGTATGAAGACGAGAGGGGTATAAAAAGATATACATGTATGAGGTAATTCATGGCCTATTGCAGCTTATAGATCACTGGATGTTTGTGAGCAATTACTAATTCTTCCCTTAAGGGCTGATCCCAACTAGTGTCCCAGTATTATACACAGTTGAGGTCATCCTTCTCTGCCTAAGGCAGTGCACAGGCCTTTCAGCTAAAACAGGATGCTTCTACTTAGTCTAAGACATAGATTACTGGTGGCTCAATTGGCTGCTATTTCCTGCTTTTTGTCACATTAGCATGACTGAAATGGCTATTTGTTGAATCTTTGTATCTGACTGACCTCCAAGCACCCTCTGCTGGCTACAGTATTACATATTTTCAGCTTGTGGACAGGTTACAGCGCACTGGACAGAACTGGGATGACAAACCTGCTAAGCATAATTGTCTCCTTTTGAGTACTGATTGTACTGCATGTAGCTTACGTGGCTTTGCTCTGCTGTCTGTCTCATTCTGTGCCTGCTTCTCGTTTCTTCTTTTCAAATTAACCTTTGCCCCACCCCCTTCCCCCCCAGACTGGATGAAGAACTGAAGGAAGCAGCTGAAACCAATAAGTAAGAAATAGTTCTAGCCAGTGTCAGTGTGGGTTTCTTTTCCTGGTTTTCGTTATGACAAGGATATACAAAGACCACTTACATCAATGATTCAGCAGAAGCAGCTTAGAGTAGAAGGTGCAGCGATGAGGAAACTAGATGAGACTTCACTTCTAAATGTGATATCATATCTAAATAAGGTATCGGTATCAGTATTAGAGGAATGCAAAGATTAAGTGATTGATTTAATTAAAATGTATTACAGGTTCAGGTGCACTGAGACTCCTTTGTTCTCCTTTTGAAACTTCTCTGATCCACCTGAGAAGGTCTCCCCTTCTACTGAATCCAGAGCTTTGCTGTCTGCTAAATCTTGAATGTACTAATTTTCATCCACACCATCTGTTTAATTAAATGTGGCAAGTGTCTGTCTACTCATATTTGTTTGAAGGGTGGCTGATGTTAAACTCAATGTTATTACTTTACATTTTTATAATAATAATAATAATAATAAAAATACATTTAAATTATGTCTTTATCCTAAATATAAAAACTCTAAATAAAAGTAATCCGAATACAATGGCTTTGTTCTACTCCATTCACAGTGAAATCCCAAAGCAAATATTAAGAAAATAAAGGAAGGAGCAAGTGTGGGTCAAACTTCTGCCACCTATGGTTGAATTTGAGTGTATGTGATAAAAGTCAAGTATTACCTAAGCTGTAATACTGTGGGAGATGAATTATAATAATTTTTAAATTGTTGAACAAAGAAAGTTTAACTTGTACTGTAAATAACATGTTCGGTTTTATATCTGAACACTCTTCTTCCCATGCTTTATTCGGAGAAACAGTCATTTAAAAAATGGCTCTCTGTTTCAGGACTAAAACCAGTAGCTCAAAGAAAATTTGGTTTGTTAGATTGATGCAATTGATGAAGAAATTTGTAGTTTTTTTATTTTCTTATTTTTCAAGATTATCCTTTGCAGAGAATATGTACAGTACAGTGTGTTTATATAAAATAAATATCAATAGTATGTGAATGCTTGTGTGGCTGGTCACAACAGATGGATAGTTGCAGTCTAGTCCACTTAGTTTTCTAGTGTAGGAAGAAAGGCTTTGACATAATGACGTAACTACACTGCTTGCTAACACACAAGACAAAACACTCAATCTCTGTTTTTACTGATCACTTAGTTGCTTTTCCACTCACTCTCCAATTTTGCTCTTTCCCACTTCTGTGCAGCACAAGTTAAACAGGATCTGCTCTCTTCTTCCATAAGCAGATTGTCAGAGCAGACCAAAAAGCCTGGCTCTTTTTTGATTAACACTAACTGGTGCTGGACCAATCAGCTGACTGCACACAGCAGCTCATCCTCAGGCCTCTGGGAATGTAGTGGGAGCAAGATCCATAATCTTGCTATTTTGAGCTGCAATACGTCAAGTATTAAACCTCTTAAGTTTCTGAAGTCTGCTTTGGTGTTTATGGGAGAATATAGAGATAGTACTGTATGCTGTTTTTGCTTGATAAGAGAGGGTGTGTTTTATTATGAAGCATGCATTGCAAGCCTTTTTCTGTTCATGACAGTGTTATAACTGCACCTTCCACAAGCCCATTTTATATGTGATAACTGCATATAACTAAAAAAAACTAATGCTGTTGCATTAGCAGATGTTGTCACATTACACTTAACAATAGAATATGCTTTCTTGTTGCCTTTCTTATGAGTAAAACCAAAAACTGACTAGAACTAAGAGAGCACTGTCAAAATACAGCATATGTGTTCGGGCTATCATCTGAGGCATGCCTCTGAGCCTGTAAGCCACACTGTCTCAGAGTCACTCAGATGTCCCACAGAAAGATGTTCCATGGTCTTTTTAATACTCACAAGAAACCAAGAACACTGTTCTGATTGCAACATGTTGATATACTGTGAACCCTGTTACCAAACAAATAATAAATAAAAACAAATAAAATTAACATTTAATAAGAAACCTTCACCAAAAATAATTAAATATTTTATGGAAAGTGAAAATCAAAAGGGGACAATGCTTTTGCTGAGCATAATAGGTACGTGACATGATGGTGACATGACTAATTTGAGGTACCTAAAAAGTGGTGTAAAATAATAGAATAGAATATGTCAGTTGCACATTTTTAGAACAAAAAAAGCAGTAGTTCTGCTGTTGAGCATACTGTGTATTTTGATAAGCAGAAGACTGTTTTGCACTTTGTATTGTTTAGTAGCACCAAGTGCAAAAGTAGCTAGAATGCATTAAGAAAATACTGTATTATATTTACTGTAGGTGTTAATGTTGTTTCCTTTTTAATGATCACATACAAATGGAGGAATTGTAGAACATATACTTTACACTTACCCAGAGACTCAATTATATGTCAGTATTTACATGGAAACCAATAGGTGGAGTTCTAGGGGAGAAGCTGGGAGTGCTCCGCCCCTTCGTCTATCATTCAATTATCTCTTCCCTATTTAAACCCTAACCCTGCTAACACACACATCTAGAGATTTGGAATTCCCTTCTCCTCCTCTTTCTTTCATGTTGCTTTTGCATCCAGGTTCCCTCTGGGGAGTAATTGTAGCTCACTTCCCCGACCTCAGGATGGCAGCACCACCTTGACCCTTTCTGGGGAGGTTCTAAAGCGCAGACCAGAGGGGACCCCCGGCCACATTATTCTGGGGAACTCTAATTTACTAATTCTCATTCCCTCGGTCCCCTGAGGGCTTATCCCAGTTGCGAGGCAGTGCCTCAAAAGCGACTCTCAGCGAGTCAGGGGATTTCTTTCGCTTCCTTCTCGAGCAGCTTTCTCTTCATTCTCAATGCCTCGGGCAGCGCCTCTCAAAGTGATTCCTGTAGTCAGGGGTCCTTTCTATTCCCCCTTGAGGGAATCGTTTTCAATCGTGAGGCAGCGCCTCTCATGCGACTCTCAGCGAGTCAAGGGGCTGTCTCCTCCTTTCTATCCCCTGAGGGCAGCGCCTGGTCGTGAGGCAGTGCCTCTCAAAGCGACTCTTCGCGAGTCAAGGGGAGTCTTCCTCTTTTCTTTCTATGCCCTGAGGGCCTAGCTCCCAGTCGTGAGGCAGCGCCTCTCATGCGACTTTCCGCGAGTCAGGGGTGTTCATGTTTTCATGCCCCGGAGGCTGCCGAGTCAGCCAACCCAATCGGCCACCTGGGTTCCCCCGTGCGGTCTGGGTGCTACTTTTCTCTACTTTATTAACCCCTGCTTCTCCCCATGTAAAGTATTTAAAACTATCTTAAAATTTATGCCTGCTGCTCCAGATCACTCTGAGCAAGCACAGCTGCAAGTAAAAGTAGGTTTTTAATTTAAGAAACACAAGGTGGGAACTGATTTAGGTGTCTGAAGCAGTGCCACAGAGATTTTGCTTAGTTATCTTGTCTTAGTTTGAACAGTGCTTTATTCATATTGCTTATGTTGGATTTTAGAGTGGCTGAATTATTAAGACAAATAATTGCTGATTTACTGTAGTAGTAACAGCTTCAAGTAAGAGGTGCAGAGAAAGGGAAACCTGACTTCCAAATTTAATTGTAAATTTACATCTGACTCTGACAAGAGATTTCAGTGGTAGTGCATAACTGAAAGAGCACCACTGTAGTTATGTGGGTTTCAGTCCAAAGTATCCTCCGCATGTGACCAGCCTGGTATCTTTGCACTTGCATCTATCAGACTTGCATCTCTTTTAATACCATAGCTCTGCCACTGGCTTTGTGGAGTCTTGATGTGAAATGAAATGAATGGCTTGACTGTGCATATGTCTTGGATGTGCATTGTCTTTGTCTAGTGGTAAACTCTGTGGATGTAATTGGTATTTCCAAAGGTTGGGAGATGTAAAAGAAAAAAAATCATGTTAATTCTCAATGGAAAAAAGTTTAAGATCAGCTAGTCTTTATTAAAGAATTAACAAAAACAGTAACACTTGTATTACATTAACATATTGTACACAATGATATTGTTTTTATATATTTAAGCACATGTATTTTGGTTTAATACAAAAATGTTTTACAGTATGTTCAGTGCATAGCAGAAACTTCAATACAAAATATTATTATTGTTTATAAAAAATGTCCTACACTGAAATGAAATCTGGATCCCTGCATCTGTGAGTTAGTAGTACTGACCACCCTGCTGTTTTTATCTCTGCTTGGATTTCACTCTCCAGCAAGGTGTTCAGCTTGTGAGTCACCTATTTCAGATCTGAAGTTAAAAAGATTCCTCATATGGTGATAAAACTAATTTTAGCACATCTTTCAAGTGATTTTCCACTTGCAAGCAGCTAGTGTGATGTACTCCCTGTGTGTTGACGTGAGGAACCCAGTCACACCTGCTGTAGAGAATTTTAACTGGCATTTTAATTGACACTTTAACTGGCCCTTAGTGTACAATCTGTTAATGAACATTAGTAAGCGCACTATAACTCTCCAAAAGTTATTAAGTGCTGTTTACACATTTAGCAAACTGTGATTTTATTGCTTGTATTTCATGCACTTTTATCAAACTGCTCAGGCTTTTTATCATGCAGTAGAAAGTATACATTTGCTATTTCCTCATAAGGAAATGGAGAATAGCGGTCACAGTGAATGTATGTTTGGTGGTAACTAAGTATCTTATTGCTACCATTTTACTTTTTATTGTGTGTAGATATAGCAGCTTTCTAAATGGATATGAATCATCATCTGTCCAACCGGAGTAAGAGACATATATTTATCTATTGTGCATTTAATTAGTTTTTTTATGACTTTTTTAGGGCTGGGCAAGTAATATCCCCTTCAGCTAAAAGATAATTCTAATTTTCCTGTGAATGTTCTCATCCGTATTTATCATCTTCCAATTTTGTGGGATCAATATTTCAAATTTGTCATAATCTTTCAGATATATTGGTTGTACACTGCCTGCTTTGTAGATGAAGATCTACAAACCTTTGCCAAATTAACATACAGTAGTTCACAAATATCTATCCTAGTCTTATCTACTGTATATCTTCCCTATATGTTAGATTTTCCCTGTATATCGCTTTTAATCCTGCACCATTTCAGTTCCTAATGTACCTAATGTTTACTGTACCAGTTTATAATGTCTGCACAGTATATGTGCATTTGGCTAACTTGTTCTGATCAGTTGTAATAATGACCTTGTGGACAGCAGGATATATTATCCATTGAAATGGAGCCATTGACATGTTTCTACAAAGCTGAAATAATGAAATTGATAAATTTAATCATACATGCTCTATTCTTCCCTCAGGCAAGCTGCAGGTGAATTGACCATCTAATTCATGCACCATGGAGTGGGTTTTTTGCCCACAGGAAAATTATGACTACAGTTGTACTTGCCCAGTGCTAGAGAATTCTTGTTCTTGTTGTGTATTGTGGGCTGTGCCGTATTATACTTATTATACATAATACATTGTACACAGTGTTAGCTTAAATGGAACTATATGAAATTGTTTCAATTTTCAATTTTATTTTCCAAAAGATTAATCGTGCTTTTAAGATAAGAAAAAATACTTGAGCTTGCAGTTGGAGTTTTTACACTAGTAAAATGTAATCTGATCATCTTTCGATTAGAATAATTTCTATTAAGGAATACAAGAAAGTGTATTATGCCGTAATAATATGTGTAACAATGATTGTTCTTAGTAAAACGAGTGGCACCTTGATAGGGAGCTTCCTTTCAAACTCCTGTGGTAGATTTATATATAGGTCTTTAAAGGAGTAATCCTTTAAAGTCTTTTCTTACTGGTGAGGTATGTTCAATTGATGTTTTCAAGCATTTTAAAATTTTATCTAAAGTATCCAAAACTGCATAAAGAAAACCTTCGTCTTACTAATTACTATAAATTTGCAATTACACGACTCCAGAAATGTTGGCATCTTACTATATCATATTGCTTACACTTATATAGTGTTTTTCTGGACACTCCACTCAAAGCGCTTAACAGGTAATGGGGACTCCCCTCCACCACCACCAATGTGCAGCATCCACCTGGATGATGCAACGGCAGCCATAGTGCGCCAAAACGCTCACCACACATCAGCTAACAGTGGGGAGGAGAGCAGAGTAATGAAGCCATTTCATAGATGGGGATTATTAGGAGGCCATGATTGGTAAGGGCCAATTGGAAATTTGGCCAGGACGCCGGGGTTACACCCCTACTCTTTTCGAGAAATGCCCTGGGATTTTTAATGACCGCAGAGAGTCAGGACCTCAGTTTTACGTCTCATCTGAAGGACTGTGCCTGTTTACAGTATAGTGCCCCAGTATAGTGTCCCCATCACTATACTGGGGCATTAGAACCCACATGGACTGCAGGGTCAGGCCCCCTGCTGGCCCCACTAACACCTCTTCCAGCAGCAACCTTAGTTTTTCCCAGGAGGTCTCCCATTCAGGTACTGACCAGGCTCACACCTGCTTAACTTCAGTGGGTTGCTAATTGTGAGTTGCAGAGTAATACGGCTGCTATATGGGTGTCAGTTTGGAAAAATGCTATATCATGTTTTGTTTTGATGTGATAATGGAGATCATAGGAAACATGAGAGTGGCTTTGTAGTGATATAAATATAATGTTATGCATCCCACATATACAGTATATTTTGTTATTTAATAAACCTATTCATGCACCTCCATTTGAGCAGAAACTTCATTTTGGATTGAAATCACATTATATGTATTTTCTGCAATTCTGCCTATTTTACACATTTACACATAACTGTGTAATGTGGCATCATTACACCAATGCAGCTATTAAATGGGTTTGTATAGAAGAATACAAATTTGCTAAAATATGTTTACAAGCATATATTTGAACCCAGTTTTTCATTTTTCGCACTTCTGCTCAAGTCTAGATGTTTAACTTTAATTTTTCTTTCGACAAAGCAGGGCAAAACAAATAAAGTATGTACTGGTACCAGTAAATAATATTGTACTGTATATATCATTCATATACAGTATATTATGCACCTAAAACATACTTAGACATTACAATAAATGTATGTAATGAGCATCAACAATTTCCACAAAAATAGTGTTCACTAGTGTTTTCTACTTTTAATGTATATTATAGTATACAATTTTACTTTTAGTTCCATGTGATTAGGTTAATCAATGACTTCCAACTTAACAGATACAGTGTATAGCATGCTTTGTGATTTGCTGTGCTTATTTTAGTTGGGTGGAATAAATGTAGGCCTATTGTGTTACTGTCTTTACTAACATAAATATTTGTCTTTCTTTTTTTTAGCATTGATAAGAGGGTGAATGAGAACAGTTCCTAAAGGATTCAGAAATCTTGGAAAACTGTAAGATGTTTACTTGTACAGGGGAATTTTGTCTTAATTTCAATTACTGTTTTATTATTGTAGAAGTTTTAAATAGTAATAAAAAGGGTTAACCATAAACTAGTAGCATATAACAATTCACAATAAAATAATGTGCCGCAAAATGAACTCTTAGCCTTTTGCGTTTCGAATGAACTTGCCTTATGAAGGTTTGGTAGCTCCAGTCAGTTTTATGTCATTTTCTTTTTGAAGATAAATCCTGTAATTCTTGCTATTTGTTTTGTGTATTAAGTCTGAATTATAGGTTAGGCTTGTTTGTTGTTAGAAAGACCATACATCTTGGTTCAGTAAGTTAACCCTTTCTGTTAAACATACAACTGGGGTATAATTCTGAATGCTGTTTCTTATAACTGCAGCCTTTAAAATCAGTCAGAAATGCTTCCTAATGTAAAACGTAGAAGGAACACTTATTAGCTCTTCAATTTAATTACTTTTTTTAAATTTATTATTTTCCAGCAAATAAAAAATACAGGGTGAAGGAAACAACTCTCTCAATTTTATCTTCTAGTTTTTATTTCTAAAGTGGGGGGGTGGGGGCATTTTATTTGCCATATGACTCACAATCATGAAAAGAATGTGTTTCACAACTTATAAAGCACAGAGTGACCAAAAGAAAAGAAAGCTGGTTCCTTATTACTGCCTCAAAATCTACAATGCATGGAAATATGTTGAATTCCAATCAACATTATCTTTATTGTGTTTCTGAGTTCATTTTTCCAAATTTGACAATTCAGGCATTATACATGGCTTAATTTTTTTCACTAATGTGAGAACATTCACCGTGAAGTCCTTCTTTCTTAACTGTTCATGGAATCCAATTATCTTAAACAACTTTATCGCACCAGTTATTAAACATACATAAACGTAAACCTGCAAAAGCAGCCTATCTTTGATTGCTCTTAAAACATTATTCAAAACTATGTACAGTAGTTCTGTAGTAAGTAGCTTAGTCTCCAGATGATTAACGCATTTCAAAAGCGACAACTTCCAAGAATCAGACGCTTTGTGATTGTTTGAGTATTTTCGGTAGAATAGATTTGGCTTAACCCATTTGGTTAAGAGAAAGCACCCTGATCAAAAGATGAGGAGACTCAAACCCCATTTAGAATAAGGATTTAATCAAAGGATAGCTGCAACGTGGAGATGGGGTGGAGGGTGGTTACTAGACAAATGTGAAAAGAGTCGTTTGTGTTAAGGATACATTGCTAATTTCAATAATGATTATGATCAGGAACAGCTGGGTGTAGTTGACTTTTTGATAACCGTTCCAAACTTCAGTTAATGATGCCCCTTTGATGTACTGCTGGTGATGTGACCTGATGTTGATTTTCAGCCAACAGACATTACTTCATTTAAATGTGAAATTATTTTTAAATTGTGATCTTTGAAATATAGAAATTGTAACATTTGAGGAAGACTGGATGCTAAGCCTAAAGAACTTAATTTGGGGTGATGTCATTATGTCAGCATTTTGTTTTATTTCATTGAGTTTAATATTGATTTTCTTTTTTTCCTGTAGTCTTTATGTTGTGAATCAGAATAACATGCAGATTGTGAACCTATTCAATGTAGTACCTTACTCTTATCAGACGAACTTTTCACTGGGATATCAAACCATTAATCAAATTGAGATTTGAACTAGAATCTGACTCAAGAAATCCTTCTATATCATAACAATCAACTCTGCCAACCTATAAAATATATGGGATTGTATACAGTTCAGCAAGTTACACAGAGAACCAATTGAGTTAGCTATAATCGGACTTTAATGTACAGTACTTAAGTAATAGTAAGTTATATTCACCAAAGAATTGGAGACATTGTTTGAAAGCAATATGAAGAGCTTTGAGACATTATTTATACAAAGAGCACACTTTCAGCTGTACAGCACAGTCTTATCCCTTCATTCTTTGGTATTGTTTTGCCAAATAGAGAAAGGTTTTGTTTCAGTATAATGCAATAAAATAATATTCAGTAACTAGAAGGAATTGAAGATTTTTCTTTGTGTTCTACTAGGTTAAAGGACTATTTTATAATGTATGGGAGGGGAGGGAGTCTACAGTGCATGCTTGGTCAGACATTTTAAGGAATTCTATCTTATTGCTTCAGCTGCCCTATATAGCTGTCATGAATACTCAGGCATTGTGCTTTCCTGCCCTTCCTTAAATGATTCTAGTTATATGAGGCAGTCAAAGAACAAAAGCATATCCTGAACACAAAATATTTGCATACTGTATGCTTCAGTGCCACTCTACCTGACTGTACTGTGTTAATGTTTTCTGATGTAATGTTCTTCTGAAAATCCATGTGGAAAGTGAATGAGAGGGTTTAAATCACATAACATAGTCTAAAAGTAGAAAAGATTCTTCTGATCAGAACCTTCACTGAAATAAATTGTAGAAATGTGCTGTAAATTATGTAAAATGTTTGTTTAAACTATTAAAATGTATTGTTACACTGGATATGTTGGTTGTTACTTGTATTTTTTACTCATTTTACAGTATTAATCTATTTGAACTCAATTAAAATTGCCAAGATGAGTTGTTTAAGAATGTATGAAAATATCCATCCCATAAGGAATTTTAATTAAGGCAAAAACAGTGAATGATACAACCAGTATCTTCAGTAATAGAGATATTCTGGGTGCTTTTGGCATGATTGAATGCAGCCAATCTATGCAATTAGTTGTCTAGATAATTATATTTTCTGTTTTAACAATGACCATCTTAGTCCAGGAAACTGGTGTGATAGACAGGCCACATCTTTGAAGAAAGACAGGACCATTGCAGTTGTCTGATCTGTAATTGTTTTCAGACTGTAGTAGCTACAATGGGAAATTAAAAGGTGAAGTATCACACTTTCAGAGGAAACTTTCACAGCTGAATGACATAATCTCCATCTTTGGAGATTTTGACATCTCAGCTGGTGGCAGAGAGAGGGGTAGATTGTTTTATTCACTGGTGAACTCTGTTTTGCCCTTGACAAACCTCAGAGAAGACATCATGTGCAGAGATGTTTTGGTTTTGTGTGGGTCAAGCCAACCAGTGGTGTGGTGGATGTGTGATGATGTGGACAGTAATCTCCTTTAACAAAAGAATGATTTGGGTGCAGACAAACAGACAGTTTAGAAATAGATTCACACTCCCTGTGTGCTTGAGCCAACATGAGGAAGTCCTGATTTTACAATACAAGATAACACAGTGCTAGGATAACAGTTGCATGCCATTTAAGACAACAATGTTGAGGTCTTGGAGAGTCCAACAGAACATCTGAGGGGCCATTTTGTCAATATTGTCAACAGGAAACATCTGTAACTAGCCAGCCTTCAACATTTCATTCTTACAAATGAAACAATTCCCCAAAGGCACAACAAAGTACAGTTGACCTTACTTTAAATTGCTTTTGAAGGTGATTCTTTTGAATCCTTGAAGAATTTGTCCTTCCCAACTTTTTCAACTTCTATCAGTCCCCACACACACTCACAGTTGTCTCAGCAAACAAAATCCAGGGGAAATGTTGCATTTACTAATGTTTAAATTACCAATGTACTGTACGTAAATGGGATCACAGTCATCACTGAACATTCTAACCTAACAGAATCACAAATTACATGCAGTGTGATTTCACCCTGTTTGTGCAACTCTGAAATCCAGTCAGACCAAAAATAGCCGGCTGTAGCATAGCATAGCAACAAAGAGCTGTAAATTAAAATGTTTAAAATCTCCTTTTATCGTATAGCAATATCTACAGTGTATTGGGAGTTCATTTTTTTTCCTGTTTTTGAAAATGTTCTTACTGGATATTGTTTGGATCTTATGCTCTGGGTTAGATCCTCTGCCTAGTCATTACTTTGAGTGCCTCAATAATCACCTAATGAACTACAGTAGGGAAAAAGAGAAAGAAGAAAAGGGTGAGAGAAAAAAACTTTTATCAGTAATCAAACCACAGGAAGAATCCTAAGGCTCTCAAATGAGAACAAAATGGACTGACATGCAGAAACAAAATCTGTCTGCTACCCCATATATTTGAATTTTGTATTTTCTCAGATGTAAAATGTTTTAAGTGGAACACTGCTGCATCTGTTTCACCCAGTTTAACAATAGCAGGCTCATGGCCAGTGGGATGGAAAAAGCAAGGCAGCCAAAGTGTACAGTATGTACACTGGGCATCGATATGTTACTGGATTGGATGCCAAACACAACAGCCAGTATCAGCTGGCATTTGCAAATGTTTGGAATATAGATATTTAAATACTTAACAGCTTGGGAGAGGACCACAAAGAAGAAATGTTAGTTAGTTAGTTTTGTTAGTTAAATGTTGTGTGTTAAATGTTAGTTAGTTTTGCACATAAAACAGGTTAGGTTTAAAAATCAGTATAGGGAGATGCATCTTCATGAAGATTGTTTAGCAATCTGTTCTGCATTCTGTAACTACAATGTGCAGGTACTGATGTAATGATGTGTAACGATATGTGTACTCTTTATAATAAGCACATTTGTAGTCGCCTAAGAATTATATTATTTAACCATCTAAAACTGGAGACCCGTGACTGAAATATCTGGATGTGGGGGATTGCTGCCAGTGATTTGTGAGATATTTCTGCTGTGCCAGTATCTTTCACCCATCCCAGAGCTGTTTCTGTACTGACCTCTTAGGGTCTCCTCAGATGCTACATTCATTACTTCATTTCATCACCACCTCTGCTTGGCCTGCATCACTCTTCTTTGACCATACGGTAAGCATAATGCAAGGCTGAAATTAAATTTGGTCTACCATAAAAGTGTAAGTGTATTTAATAAATAAAAGATGATACAATACTTATTAATGAACAATGACACAACACCCAAAACATCACGTTGCTATAGCATGTCAGATATTTTCACTGCAGTTTTTGAATACATTAAAAATGATGAAAAATATTAATTTGAAAGAAGCTGACAGAACAGGCATGGGTAAAACAACGTCAGACTAATGTTTTTTGACAGTAGGGTAATGTGTAGCAGCAATAAAAGTAACAGGGAGTTTATAGCAGAGGAGCAGCCTCATTGAATCAGTTACTTTGAGTCTCAAAGGTCCATAAATTGTAAAGAAAGTAACTGTGTTCAGCACAAGCATTGCAAATTATGAATGTAAATCTCAATACCTCTTTCTCTCATGCTCTCCTTGACATGCTAGACAATTTCCAAATAAAAAAGCATTTTATTTGTGGTTGCAGTGTATACTGTTCAAATGCATGGTATAGTATGTATTCTATGTAATGTTGTTAATGATATGACTAAATATGAATAACATTCTGCTTTGTCTGCTTGATTACAACACAGTGTCTTACATTCTGAGCACAGGGAAACAACAGATTTCAACAAACCCCTTAAATAAAAGGAAACATTTTTAATTCTAATTCATAATAATATATTACATCTTTTACATTATTCATGATGAGCACTTTTGTAACAAGTAGGGAAAACATAAAAGATTACCATTATAAATGTACAGAAAAATAAAACTGCAATTTCCCCTTATCATTACTTCAAATGGACAAGCATAAATGAAAGTTGGGAACCCAGCTTTAAACTAGTTACATATATCAGTACTGACTGAAAAAGTCTGTATTCTTGTCTTCAGACCACATCCATCAAACCCAGATATTCAGATCTGCTTTATATATAATTGCAATTTATATATAATAAATATAATTGTTTAGAATTAAATTCAAGCTTTACTGTCCCCTGGGGGAAATGTTTTACAGGACAGTCTAATAAAACAAGGACACATAATATTACCAACAAAAAAGACCAAACATTTTTTTATAACAACAGATACAAAGCTGACAAAACTTAGTACACACTTTTAATTATTCAGATTGAAACAATTGTATTAAATGTACAAAAAATCTTTCAAATACACAGTGCACAATTTTCGTTTAATGGGCTCTGTAAAGGTTTTTCTCTAACACAGAAAAGTGAGCAATGCATATGCATTATATTTTGAGCAAAATCCCTCAGTGTATCATATATTTGAACACAATGTGTATAACATGTAGCTTGTGTATGTCTAATAATACTCTATATTTGGCTGTACTGCAAAGTATTTAATTTATTTAATCATGCATTTAATCATTGATGTTTCATAGCATACCTGACAGGGACAGGTTTATAAAACAAGTTTGATTTTATAAAACAAATGCTGTTATCAGCTGTTATCTTATAAGGACCCTGATAGGGCAAAATATCAGCAATCTGCTTCTTTTGCCTCAACTGAATGTACATAAGTGAATAAAGAGATTTTCTGAAAATCATTAATGATTGTGTCATACAACCATTGTATCCTGGATAAGCTCTATGTACGTATCCATAATGGTCATGAGCAAAACAAAATTAACTGTTTTCTACCACATCTTAAATTTTCCAAAAATCTGTATGGCTGCTGCGGTAAGTGACTTGTGCCTTAAATGCTCTTCCAAACACTGAATTGCAAATGGATCCACATCTATGTCAAATTTGTTGGCAAATAAGTGGTGCTGCTGTAGAATCCAATTCAAATCCCCTGCTCCATAAACACAAATTGACCGAACGTGTGTGCCAGTACATGGAGGATACAGGGCTCCTTTAGAGAGAACACCTTCAAAATAACTCCATTTTACAAACCTAGCTATGGCATTCATATCTGTTACATCATACTTTGAGCCTACTGGAATAGATCCTGGAACAACAGGAATTCTTTGAAGTGTTGCCCACAATAATTCATCAGGACTGTAAGTATCTTTTGTCCACTCAATGAAGTTGAGTATCTTCTGTTCTTCAAGTACATGTTGTACAAAGTCTCTACTGACCACAATATAGGCCCCACCTGAAAACACAGGGGTTTCAATTGGGGGAGGATCCTTATTATAATTTGTTTTCTTAATGTGTCCATCTACAATTTCGTAATGTTTCTTCCATCTCATTTCCTTGTTGGGTGGCATCTTTTCTGTTTCTAGGCTATTCTTTCCATTCAAGGCTTTCAGCATTCCAACGATTTCCAGGTTGGTTTTTATAGGGAAATCCATGCCACAGAGATTGATGAAGTACTTCCAGCTTGAACTGTGTCTGTACAGGTCTTTCATGCAGTTAATATCTGCCTGGACCCTACCCCAGCTTGCGTAGATGACACTTTCTAATTGACTGGCAACAAAAACATTATCAAAGCAAGATGCTATACCTTTAACTGCAACTAAGAAGGATACTGGAGATTTTTTGTCCACATGGATACAGTAAACATTTTGAGGTGCATAAATGGATCTTAGGAGTCTTTCAAATGTATCGATTTTGTGATGAACAACCAAAGAATAAGCAATGGGGAATTCTTTTTCTTCCTTGCTGAGTGAAAAGGTTATGTACTTCCGAGCTTTTCTGAAGTTCTCACAGTTTTTTGTCAGTTCAATGAAGTGGTCATTGGTTAAGCGGGGTTTATTTTTAAAACCAACTGTGATCACCTGAAGCCTTGCCCTCCCAATTTCTTCAACATCACCTTGAATAATTTTTGTGCAATTGAAATTTGTCTCTGAATCTTCATTTATCAGCTCTAATCTTTTGTACTCCTCCACTGCCTCTTTTATTTGAATGTGAAAGATGCAAAGGGTAGTTAAAAGAAAGAACCCAGTCAACAGCAATTTCTTCCTTCTGTATTGAAAGATCAATCTCCTTAATGACATCTTGCAGGTAACCAGGTGTCTGCTGATTTGCTTCTGTAAACCCAACTTTTCAAGAAAGATGAAAAATTGTTCTGCAAAAATTAAGGGATAAAATTAAAATTACTTTCCAAATATAATTTTAAACTTTATTGAAATGCAAAATAATTAATTATTTATTCAAGATTTCCACAATGTTTTGTGCAACAAAAGTCCTGCTCTTAGTTTTAAATGCAGTTTCTTGTAGTTCCACTTGTATCCTCTGCTTCATTTTCCATTTCAACACTGACAGCACATGGATGAAGACATGGTGTGCAGAGGAAGACTTCAGCTTTGATGGTCAGTGGAAACCTTTCTGTGGTAAAAGACATCTGTACGGGTGTGACAGTTGACATTTAAATGAGGTGGACACCAGTCATCTTGAAATAAGGAAGGAGAGAGAAAACAAGGAAAATTCTAAATGAAGATATAGCACAAGAGAAGCAAAGCCAAAAGAAAAGTGTTTGAGTACTAGAAGCACTCAAAATAAATCTCCAGGGCCAGATGGTATTCGTTAGATTGCACTGAAAGAAACAAGAGATGTTATTTTGTAAGCAACTGATGCAACTCTTCCAACAGTCACTTAAGAAAGGGACAGCAACTAGAGAATGGCTAATGTAGTGCTGATTCATAAAACTGAACCAAGCAATACAAGACGAAATACATCTGACATCTGTTACATTTACTGTGAGTTTATGAAAAAAAATAGATCAAACCTAAAGAATCTACTAAATGGAAGTTCCTAGGATATTTAGAAAAGGTAGGTTTTGTTTAACTTATATATTCAGAGTTCCTTTAACAACTCACAATTGTAATGGACACAGAAAGCATACTGTACAATATGATGCAATTCGATTTTCAGAAGGAATTTGATAACATTCCACAAGATTTTCAATCTCAGTTTTCAAGCAAATGAAAAGAAAGATATAAAAGATTAACTTATGTTCATCTTTGAACATAGATGAGCATTGATTAAATTCAAGACAAATGCCTGGAACATGATGTTAGATGTAGACAAGTGCAGAACATTATATGTAGGTAGCAATAACAAGCTACAAATTGGAAGTGTTGAGCATGAAAAAGTGTTGACCTATGAAAAAACGTAGATGTTAACGACGAGATGATGAATTCTACATAAACATAGTAACTGTTAATCCAGCTATGCCTTTACTACTGTATGCAGGTTAGGTAGAGTATATCTGGGAGATGAAGATGCACAAGTGGGTGTTCACATTTACTTAGAAATAATGCAATTTTTGTTAACAAATGCAGATAAAGTGGTCACTAATACTTTTGCACAAATAGGTGAAATTCCTAATGTACTGTAGAACTCGTGAATATATAGTTAAAAGGTCTAGAATTGAAATCAAGGGAAGATAAAATTGTACAATCTAACAACTAGTAACAACTTATGTACAAGTACTGTCTTAATGTTTCAAAAATATATATCTTTGTTCTAGAATCAGTCCCAAAAAGAGGAACTACAGGAATTCCTATACTGACAGGCTGAAATATCTGAACCTGTTTAATCTTGAACAGAGAAGGCTATGAAGGGACCTGATGAAACATGAAAAATGCAAAAAGACACTGATGTAGTCAACACAAAGGACTTTAGAATTAACAGTTAAACAAATGGAAACTAACAGGAAGCGCTTTTAAAATTCACAAGAGGAACTTTTCTTATGTTCATAGAACTTATGTTCCTGTGTTATAAGAATTTAAGCAAAAGTACAGATTATAGCCTTACATATCCTTGTATGGCCTTCCCAGCCATATCTTTCAGAAGACATTGCAAAACAGAATATTTTAGTTGTAAAAGACAAGTTAGACTTAAAGACAGAAAACAAAATTTAAAACTATACCTTCTTAAAATGTTTGATGACTCAATATTTCAATGTGTAAATGGCATTCTGTATCATAAACTTTGATAAAATATACACAGGCCATGAAATTATAAGACATTTACACAGATGGCATCATATACATCAAAGCTAAATTTCATGAGGAGTGAAAATGAGGATATCAGCTGAACGTTGATGTTTTCTCCTGGTTTCACTTCTCTTAACTATATTCTGTAAACAGTATAACAGAATATAGTTAAGGATTTTCAACTACCACCATTGAATACAGTATTCTAAATACTAGAAACAAAGGAAAGAATCTGTGTATAATACAAATTAAACATTTTTGTATACAAATCGAAATGTTCAAACATTTTTTCTGTAAAGATGTTTCATCACACAGTTTCTTGTTCTTTTTAAACATTTGTTGTAAAGAAAAAGTTTACAACCTTATATCAGTGAATTACAGAGATGTTGTGCTGAACAGAGGAACATTCATTTACTCATTTTATGAAGCCTTGTCTTTTGCAGAGTAAGAAGGGCTGAACCAGTAGATCTCAAGTTAAGAGCAGAACTGTACATGTGGAATATGTCCTCATTAACACATAAGCAGTACTTTTGTCTTGAAACAGTTTATCTTAAAATGTTTCCTTTGCAGGCCAGCATGGTTTCCCCCAGTCCAAAGGAAAAACTAGCCCTGGTGTGAGCTAATGTGTGTTTGTGTCTGTCTACACTGCAAAGGACTGGTATGTGTGAAAGCAGCAGATAGCAACAAGTCCAGGTTTCAAGGACTCTTTTGATAAGATTAGTAACAAAAGCACAAAGAACTGAGAGTCCATCTTTGAATGGGGTATAAGGTTTGGGACACAGGTAAGAGGTCTCATTTCAGGCTCTAACTCAGCTGTACCTAAAATACAATTGATAAATTATAATACATAAAATTTAGTATTATATACTGTTAAAATACACATAACAGTAACATTTCAGTTTTACACAAAATCCATTGCTACCTCCAAAGCTTTATACATTATACAATACTCTCCAAAAGTATTGGAGCAGCAGATTGAAAACTTACAATACAAGCAATTTGTATTCGTCATCACTAGATTAGTATGAATGATGAGTTCTATATAATATATATTTTATTTTTGGATAATTCCATGTATGTTGTGTGATCATTTTAGAACAAAAATCTACAGTACTTAGTGACAAGCCAGTCAATTAAAGTGGTCATAATTCTTAAGAAACATTCACTTCAAGTATAAACTATCACTTTAAGTATAAAAGCATTTGGTTTTATTTAACTTTCATATTACTTCAAGCAATAACTGCATGAAGTCTGTGCCTCATAGGGCTTTGGGATTAATTCCTCATGTAATTATCTAAGATGCTTTGTTGCAGCCATCTTTAGTTCAAACCTATCAGTGTATACTTCCAATTTTAATGTATTCTTCTGAATGCAAATGCATGCTCAACTGGACTTGAATTAAGAGATTTAGTTGGCCTGCCTAAGATTCTCCATTTATATCTCCTGATAAACTCCTTAGTTTGCAATGTACTGCATGTATTGTGGATTTTGAAGCATTGCCATATGGCATGGTAAAGCGCTGCCCAATAAGTATGTAAGCACTTTCTTCTGCATAAGCAAACACAATGTTTCAGTAAATTTCAGACCCTATTCTGCTCCTGACATCATTAACTAGATTATCAATACAGACAGGTAAGCCAGTGCATGCAGAGGTGGCCATGCATGCACTGGCTATGACATTATCACAGATGATAATCTTTGGAGCTTCTGCAGTTGTTTCTTTCTTCATACTTTGTTTTCTGTCACTGTGGTAAAGATATATCTTTCTCTCATTAATCCATAAAACTTTGTTCCAAAACTTTACTGGCTCATCTTTGTTCTCCTGACTGAATTCTGAAGTATGGTACAGGTAATATTATGGCCACAGTATGCATGGATATTTTCAAAGCTGTCCCAATAATTTTGGAGGGCACTACAGTATATAGTGACTTAATGTGTAGGTACACCAATAAACTGTTAACCAAGACCCATCGCTGCAAAGCTTTTTCTTGCTTTTGAAAGGTACAGCCAATAACTGAGCTCAGCCAACATTTAGTCCTGCTGCTTTCTCGAAATTTCTCATTAACACCTTATTCCTTGTTGATAGCAGCTTTGTGAGGAATGAGACCATTTTTTGTATGATTCTGCACCTTTTGCAAAGCTAAATTTTGTATTTTAACACTACCTTCTCTCTTGAAATTTCCCAACAAAGCTGACAAGGATAATCAGCCTCACTGTAACTAGTCATCATCTGAAGAACAGTGTTGCACGATTCTTCACTACATTGCCCGCCTCTTTTCTGAGAATTGAGGAACAAATGTCAACGAGAGAAGTAAATAAATAATTTAACGGCATTTGTGTACTTATTCAGAGGCTTGGAAATAAAGGCTCAGTAAGCAGTACAAAACTTACAGTATATTGTAAACATCTTCATTATTGTAAAATGTAAACAAAACATTAGTATGAAGACTAAAGACTAGACAAATAATTCACCAACATATAGTATATTTCCATTATTTGTACTTTTCTCATGTATCCTTGCTGTATGGAGTCTTTTCAGACGCCTTGTCTTTTCTGTGTTCTAGTATTACATTTTCTTTCCATTGAGTCTTTGACGAGCAAACAGTCAGGCAATTATCTATCCAAACCCTACGTCACTTTTAAAACCCTGAAGAAAAAAAATAATGGTACAAAATGCCAAATGCTACAAAATGCTTCTGCTAAACTTAGTTGACTCATATTTCTTTCTGTGCATGAGATTTTAAAAAAACAAAATTCAATTTAAAAATGCTAATTTTGACATTAGTTTTGACTTAAGTGTTACACAATCTTTCTTATCTTGCTTAGGTCAATTTACAGTCTGATTGTTCCTGCAACACTATACTGCTTGTTGTCTTGGTGCTCTTTAAATATTACTGAGCTCGACATACACTTGTTCATGGACACCATAAGTTCTGTAGTCTTGACAGCATCACACAAGACTCATCTATAAGAAAAGCTGTCAAGAGCCCAAAACTAAAATATTACTACAGCCTGTTATTCTACTAAACCTTGCTTTTTGACAGTAGGTTACAAATTGTAAAAATAACATAAAAGAGTGTTTAAGTAGTAATTTATTGAAAAGAAAATAATGAGCTTTTCATTTCTATTGCTCCTGAAACATGAAAAGTACTGTATATATAGACCAGTATGCCATAGTTGCCCATTACTTCAGGGTCATAATTTAAAGTACCCAAATTTTGTAGTATCCTGAAGAAATGTATTTTAGACTGTTTGCTCCACTCAGTTGTATATATTGAAACAGGTATTGCTAGGGGATTAGATATACTGGGGAAGTGGGGGGAGGGAGAGCTATGGTCCATAAATGACTCAACCTACACTTTGAGAGCTCTTGACACATGATGGGTGCTTTCACTTCTAAAGGCTGCTATATAACCAAAACTGGAAAGCCAGTAAATGGAAGATTCATAATACTGTGATGAGACTGTTTCATCTGCATTTCAAACAACACATTTATAATGTCAACTATTACATAAGAATTGTATAAAAAGCCCTGCTCCTTATATGCTCTTTATATGTACAATTACAATTAAAACTATACATATAACTATACGACTTCATTTTATTTATTAAATACATTCCATTTTCTTGAATCACCTAATGGTTTAGCTGCCATTTCCAAAAAATCCCTGCACCTCTTTGTAACAGGTAACAAATGTCCAAAATAAACACAATGAAGCCCGCCTCTCCCATAGAACTGGGATTGCTGGTAGTCTGTGTTCTCTTTGTCTGGATTAGCAGTTGAGTGCTATTCTCAAAAAAACGAAACATACATGTTGATGTAGCAAGTTTGTGGCATGGAGCAGATGATATATAAATCCCAAAAACTGATCACTGCGATAATCTAATCTACATGAAACAGTTATTTTCTTCATCTTAAGTAATAAAATGAAGCTTTTCATTCTTACCTATCAGGATTCTATGAAGTGGACTTGAAAATTCAACCACAAATCCTTAACATAAAACGAATCATTTAATTGTATCACATCTTTAAAAGTCTTAATGGCATGATGTCATTAAATTGTAAGAAGATATCAGAACGTAAGACCTACCTGAGTCTAATTTACCTCAATAAAATACTCCCCAACGGTTCCTCCACCATACCATACATCTATCTCAGAACTGGATTCTTTCATTTATATATTTGGAAAGAGTAGATTTGTGTAAAGATATACAATGGATTGTACATATTCCTAGGACATCCCTCCTGTCTCAATTATATATACAGTACAGTATACTGTATATAGGTGTTGATTCTGAACTGGTATCGGTCTTAAACCGTGAAAGACTGGTAGCCTTAACTCTGTTTTGTTATTTGGTCAAGATAAATTTCATTAATAAAGGTTTTTAAATTGTAAACATTTACAATTTAGCGAATTGTTAATGGGCCCAGAATTACTTGGTGGTGGATAAAGATTTTGGGACGTGATTTCCACTCAAAAACCACAGCCAATCCCTATAAACGTGCGTTGTGGATTTGCGATGTAGTTGTAAAATTAAAAAAAAAGTAAAAAAAATAAATAAAAAATGATGCACAGAACTTACATTATGTGGTTTATATATACTGTACCGCTGTTTTCTACTAAACCCGTTACTGTTATCATTGCATGTTACAAATTTGGAAAAATATACCAATGGGTCTACAACTAAAAAACGGGCTTGTCCTAGAATCAGTGTACAGCGCTGTGTTTTTTTAGATCTTTACTTTGAATACCTTTTGGCGAATGAAGAGAAACTTTTATACAGGGAAAAATACAGAGAAAAAAGAAAAGAAAGAACCCTTTCTAAATTAGTCCACACGAGTTGACTACTTTTCTATTACAAGGCAGAATGTATTTAATACTGTTTTACTTGGAACACTTATTTATTAACATTAGGAAAACAGTAAGTACTTACTTGGTCTTCTTCAAATATACTTGATTCAAGACTCGCTAGAACTTCAAAGAATAAACTTTCCCAAGAGCAAAGAATATTGAATTGAATCGGATTTGTCCCATTTTTTGCTAGTTTGTAGTCTTTGCAAGAGAAAAGAAAGAAACCAGGAACAGGGGCGAAAAGGGAGTTAGCTCTGTGCTTTACATCAGAGCTGCATATCATGAATGAACTACTGTGTAGATGTGGAAAAAAGGTGCTTACTAGCTCTGCTCTTGTATATAAAGTAGCGGATCTCCGCAAGACAGAGTTCCAGCGCCCTCACCTGTGTAAAGACTTTTTCGCCGGTTAGAGCGTAAATACAGTATGTCCCGACATACAGTGGTGTGAAAAAGTGTTTGCCCCCTTCCTGATTTCTTATTTTTTTGCATGTTTGTCACACTGAAATGTTTCAGATCAAACAAATTGAAATCACTTTTTCACACAGGGCCATGTAGGTTTAGATTTTTTTCCCCTTAATAATAAAAACCTTCATTTAAAAACTGCATTTTGTGTTTACTTGTGTTATCTTTGTCTAATATTTCAATTTGTTTGATGATCTGAAACATTTCAGTGTGACAAACATGCAAAAAAATAAGAAATCAGGAAGGGGGCAAACACTTTTTCACACCACAGTATATGAAACTGTATTAAGGTGTAGGGAGAAAAAAAAAGGTGTCTTCTGCTAGTTTAGTGCATTAACGAATCCTTTAAAGACTAGTGGAGATGAACCGGGATTTGATATGTGTGTTGCAAAGGAGTGTGATATTATTTAAACATCTTTGTAATTAATTATCCCTTTGTTTAGGCGAGTACATCATTTGCATGCATCCTGTTTTGTTTATGCGTTGGAATTGTTCTGTGTTCTACTTTGCACAGTGCACAGGAGTCCCTCAAGTTGCCAAACTAAACTTAAACAATAGTTTCATTCCCTAGTATCTCCAGCTGGTACATGACACAGAGACACTAGTAATATTTAACACTCCAAACGTGGTGTTGCGAGGAGATGCTGGCAAATTAACATTTCCAGGGTATGTCTGAGATATGGGGGAGCTCAACGAGGGGGAATTAAACGTTCTGAACACTGCCGTCCTCTGGCCAAAGAGAAACAGAGATGAGTTATAGCAGTCACAATATGCAAATAACCCTACTAATATTTTCATCGTCGAAATAAGCAGGCTGCGGCATTCCAGTGACCCAGGAATAGATTAACTGAGCAAAGTCATTTGGAGACTCTAGAGGTAGATTGGTTATGGGACGCCACCCACAACAACACAGTCCAGCTGTGGTGTCCAAGCAAGGGGTGCGTATACTGTATATAGAAGTGAATTAGAAGTACAGGTTCGCAGTACTGGCTGCAGCACAGCAGTATTCTTCACCCATGAAGATTTTGAAGAACTAAAATCCAACAGAGTTCTTGAACTGAAGCGACTGGGTGATAATCTTGTCGCATTGGAGAGTCACTCCCAGCAGCAGTAGGAAGAAGGTCTGGCAAGACTCACTTGTGCTACCCCACGAAACCTTGCTGAATGCATGGCCTGATGGATTGTACCTGAGGAGTGCATGGTGTCGCCTACTGAAAAATCTGCATTTAATTATTGGTTGTGGCTTATTTCTAATTTGTGAATTTTGAGGGGATATTTATTTTTAGGTATTTACAATGTATGGATGATGTTTACAGATGGCATGGTGGCACAGTAGTTAGAAGTACTGCTTTGCAGTACTAGGGACCTGGGTTCAGTTCCTTGGGTGCTATCTTTGTGGAGTTTGTATATTCTCCTTGTGTTTGTGTGGGTTTCCTCTGGGGGCTCCAGTTGCCTCCTACAGTCCTTCAAACTGTTAGGTTAATTGGCTTGTGATAAAACCGGCCCTGGTGTGAGTGTGTGTGTGTCTCTGTCTGTGTCTGTGGGTGCCCTGTGATGGACTGGTGTCCCATCCAGGGTTTTTCCTGCTGCTCTGGGATAGTCTGTAGCTCCTCTTTTACCCTGGATTGGATAATGTAGTTAAAAAAGAATGGGTGGATTATTTTTACAGTTTAGTTAAGCACAGTCATCTTTATTCTAGTTCTTTATTGTACTTGTGTATTTATGTCTCAGGTGTTACTTGAAGAAGTCACACCTGTGTACTGTGTTAGTTAAGCATCAAAAGGTATGCGGCAGAATGAAAATGAAAAGAAACAAGATGTTAAAGGAGAAAGGGAAGAGGGAGTCAAATTTCAGTTAATCAGTTTAACTTTCGAGTATTGCTTGAGTATTTTGAAGAGAAATTGAATTCCAGGATGTGAGGACCTGGAATTAGTGCCACCCTGAGGATCCTGATCTATGAGGTGAGGAAGACAGAGCCAAGATCTTATGACTTGAGTCAGAAGCAGAGCGTTTCTTGGCAGAAGGCGAAGCTGGTCACAGGCAGTGGCGGTTGTATTGTTATCCCTCGCTACCCAAGCCAAAAAGATTGGTTGTATTCAGATCCCTGGGTTTAAAGCTCACCGTGACTCCTTTTGTTTTTAAGTTCTTTCGTCAAACGGACAGTACAGAGGCACCATGCTCTTATCCTCACACATGAGCACCATCGTGTGGACAAATGACCTATGGAATATTCTATCCATTCATCTTGTAACCATTTCAGCCAATGGGGTTGCGGGGGAGCCAGACTCTGTCCTGCAAACAGCGAAGATAAAGGCAACATACACCCTGCACGTGACGCCAGTCCATTGCACGGCCCAACAGTCAAAAACACAGACACACCACCAGGGCCAATTTCCCTAGAAGCCGGTTATGCTACCAGTATGTCTTCAGACTGTGGGAGGAAACTGGAGCAGCTGTAGGAAACCCACGTGAACCCAGGGGAAATATACAAACTCTGTGCAAACAGATGCGTGGGAATGAAACCCAGGTCCCTAGCACTATGAAGCAGCAATGCAAACCACTGCATCAATACACTAGCGATGCTAACCAGTGCCATCCACAGAATCAAATATTTTTTTAAATGCCATCCTGATTATTTTTTACCTATTTAGTCATTTAAAATAATACAATAATACGTTTTGGACAATGTCTATTTGTAATCCTTTGTGATGACACTTTGTGAAAACTAGGGTCTGGAATCTAAGATCTAATCGGATTTATTTATGGACTAGGATCTAATGGCCAGTGGTTATACGGTAAAAAGTGGAGAGGTCGATAAAGTGCTTTCGCAGCATTGTTTGCCCCATTTTGAGAGGTGGTGACGGCTGACAATAGGTTATTCGTGTGAGAGTAATGTGATCTGCTCTGTTTCTGTTTGGATTTTATGTATAGGAGCCATAGGAATCTACTTGGCGAATTTGGATCCTTGCATATAATTGTATTACTGGAATATTATGGCTCATATTTAACAGTTTTAGTACATTAAATAAGTGTCTCATGTCAATTTATTGTATATAAAAAGTGAAGGAAAAGAGTACTGTCTGTAACATAACTGAAATGACCTAAGAACAATTCAATGTTTAAATGCAAAGTAAATATTTTATCTGGATTTGAATGGGAAGTAATGTAATGGAGTCATTATGTGTTAAGGTCTATTGAAAGGGTCGACTCGGCTAACAGTTGTTTCCTTACACCCTAACTGAGCTTGTACTGATCCCGTCTTTTCAGACAATCAATATACATTAAGGAAAATGGAGGCAAGAACTGTGATCATACTATCATATCCTTTGAAGTATATATTGGAGAGAAGTCCCAGCAAAAGATTTAAATTTCAAGAAAACAATACAAAAAGAGACGAGTGTTTAAGTGATCTAGAATGGAATATGATGGTTGTGAAATTTCTACAGAATACAAAATAAATACATTTTGTTAGAAGCACAGAACAGATTTATTTTGAGAGTCAGCAGATCTGGGGATTAAAACCTGTGGCCCAAGTGGTTAAAACATTTCTAAAATAATTAAAAGAACAGGGTACAGTTAAGGGTATATTAAGTTGAAAGCTCATGTTAAAAAAAGATATTGGGGCCAAGACAAAATTGCATTGAATACTGTTTTTTGTCAATTTATAACTGTAATAAGTTTAATAAAAATGTGAAACTTTTTTGCTGAAAAGGACATTAAACTGACATACCAATAAGAATTATGTTTACCGTGCTTTGAGCTAGAGTATTTTACAGTGTAGAATGACATACATAGACTTTCTGTCATGTAAATATTTAAGTATGTGCATGATAATTTCAGATTCTTTTTTGGGTTGCCCCCAATTCTATGAGGAACGGCGACATTTCGTGTTATAGCCTATGAAAGCAGAGAGAAGTTGCCATGGAGAAACAATATTCACGTGTTAGTAAACTAACTTTTTTTTACACTTTTAAAATATTTTTTATGTTAAAACGAAATGTTATTATGCTAATTTAGATCCATGCTGTACGTACTCTTGCCACGATGTTTTGACAGAAAGCTTTTATTTCGTCATTCCATTTGATTAATGCTTGATGAATATTCGTTATCCTGTGGTGTATTTTGTACACGAAAGTTTTAGTAGTACACGTCTTCAATATAACAAGCTTTGAGGTATTGTCAAGTTTACTTTATAGAGTTTGAACGCTTTATGTTCCTCGTACTGTCATTTTTGTACTGGGACAAACGAGATGAAATGTATTTAATAGTACAAAGCTTTGAATAAACGAAGAGCGGTATAGCCAAATTGTCCTTAATCTACTTCGCCCGTTTTGAGTCGAGCCTGGTCAACGAGAATGAACACGATGTGTCACTACACTTGTGCAGGGGATAGACGAGATAAAATTCAATTTCATCAAACTGCGAGCGGAGAACTAAAAGTTACTTTTACAAATATAGCCATACATTTAGATCTGTTGCTATTGGTAACTGTCTGTATATCTGAAAAGGTCGAAGTTCTGTACAGAAAGCAGAGGCAATATTTGCCTTACCTAAAAATATCAACTACTGCTTGTCCTTGCAAATAAACATTATAAGAATAGTAACAGGTCAAAATGTACTGAATTAACAATGTAACCATTGTAAAGTCATTCTCTTCCATAGGCAAGGTAAGGATACGGTTTACATAAATACGTGCAAAGTTTAGCTTTATCAACTGTCAGGTTGTGAATGACCATAACCTAAGATTATACAAAGTATTAGTAAGATACACTGACTGTACATGATGCTGTTTTCACAATATTTAAGTGGAATCAAATTTTTAGGAAGTCTTGTAGTTGCAATATAATGTCAGTCATAAAAAAGCAAAGGCCCACATTGAAAGGGCCTTGAGGATTTTAAAACTGTGTTTTGCTTTTCTCTCGTTTGGCCTGTCCACTTATCAACTAAGAGCCAGCAACATTACTATGGCATGTGCTATTCTCCACAACATTGTTATCCAGCAGCAACCTCTGTCATCCTGGTATTGGCCTGGCTCACACCTGCTCAGCTTCAGTGGGTTGCCAGTTGTTAACTGCAAGGGGATATACTGTAGCTGCTGGTATGATGTAGTATGATATACAATGTTGTTGGGAGTTGTTTCTTTGCAAAAGAATTACACCCAAGAGATATCAGTGTAAGATAAAATTACACTGATAATTTCAATGTATTTTTGCTAAACCAAAGTACGTATTTGTCACGAGTTCCTGTGAGGTACTTAGGAGTGGCCAAGTGTCTACTTCAACATGAAAAACCACGTTAAAACAATAACTTGGAGGAAAATTGCGAGATCGCCACAAGGCGGCGCTGTAGTAAATTTCACACACTTGTACTGGGAGGCGAAAGGCGGAAAGTCCTCATGTTGGGTGGGAGGAACTTCATAAATGACGTAACGGGAAGCTCACGGTCATGTGGGTTACGAAAAGCTTTGGTTGTATGATCACAGGTGGTTGCTTGTCAGAGCTGAGGACGTGATATAGCAGGTTAAAAGTACATGGGAAGGATTGTAACGAAAAAGAAAGATAAATAGGAGAACGTAATATTTTATTACCAAAACTGAATGGTGAAAGGGAAGAGAATGTTCTAGAACAGGTTCGGTTGTCTGGTAGATATTTGGTCTTTTACCGGTTAAAGGGACAAACTCTCCTTGAGCTAAATTCCTAAATTCGCAGTCCCTATTTCAAATCAACACTTGCGATCTCTGATCTGAAGTACAAGGAATGAAGAACCTTCCGTATTTCTGCAGAGGTGAGGTGATTCGAGGGTTTGGCAGAGGGAGCAAGGAACTTGGGATCCCGACAGGTAAAGTTTAATGTAGATTTTGAGCTATTTCTGCTCATTCTGTGTAGGTGACATCGGCGATGACAGCGCGGAGCATTTTGCAGTGAATGGAAATGTGTCATTTTTCGTTCGACTCATGGAGAGTCTCTGGAGTCTCTGAACCTAAAGCTTCCCATGACTAAGAAATTCGCTGACTTATTAACCAGTCTTGATCTGATGCATGTATCCAGTATGATCGATTACATTATGCTCGAATTTTGTCAGCTTTGTATCTACTTGTTTTCTCATTGACCATATTTTATAGTAGTCTTCGGTTATTTAGTCACCGGCCTAAAATTGCAACAGTTTTTCAAAGTCAGGCTGACTTAAGTAAGGTTGCGCAACGTGTTGGTTCTTAGAAACAAGTCACCCGTTTACTAAACTCCCGATTTTTTTATCAGGCCAATGTCGCATTAATTTCTACCGGTAGACTAACAAGATTTAGAATATTCGTTTCGATCAACTGGATATTTTAAAACGGTTGTAAAATATAGGAGGTTTCTTTTAAATAACATTTGCTACGTTACCGGTGTACGGGGCGATTTCCGCATCTCATTGATATTTTTTTGTAGCCGTTAATAATCAAAATCAAAGGACGTTGTGCTTATTTTTGTTTTACAATTCGCAAAATGGTGTAAAATTGACACTCTTAATGACATATTTTGCCTGGAGTTTGTACTGTATTGTTTTCCCGGTGTTGGCATGGGTTTCCTCGTGTTCTGTTTCCTTCCTCAGTCCAAAGACATACTAGTAGGTGAATTGGCTTCTTTGAAAACTGGCCCTGGTGCGAGTGTGTGTGTGTGTGTCTGTGTGTCCATGTGTTTCTGCAGTGGACTGCCGTCCAGTCCAGAGTGTCTCCTGCCTTGCCCACATTGCTTGCTGGATTAGGCTCCGGCTCCTCCGCGATCCTGTATTGTATCCATGTTAGAAAATGGATGAATGGACATGTTGTTGGCGGCGTTGTTAAGGTCTGCAACGCAATGCTTAGTGATTAAAAGGGGGTCGTACATTGTTACCCATTATTTCAGCTCTTATTTTATTTCTAAGTAAGAACATCTTAAATGTAATGTCACCTGGAAAGTCAAGACTTGTAAGCCCCGAAAACTGATCCTGGGACTCCTTTCAGTTATAAAAATAGTGATCATTTAGACCTACATAGGATGCGTTGTGCACATTATATCTACAACATCAATCATAGCTATAAAATCAATGTTTAAGAAATTGTCTCACAAAAGTGAGTTTCTCAGAATGTGATTGTGTAATACGTTTCAGTTGCTTGGAAATGTGCACATATGCTGTGGTTCGCTTTATTCTCATTTCACAATATGCACTAAAATCCAGTATACAGTTTATCGCCACTTGTCTTGTGGTCTGTGATTATCCTTCATATATATATATATCATACTGTATTTAAGCATACTGTAATTGCTAGTCGGTTTGCACTGTCAATGGGAAAGGTCTATGGGCAGACTGGAAGCATTTTGGAAAAGTTTAACTCTTTGGATTGCATTTTGAGAAAAATGTTATTTTTGTGTGCGTACATGTATACCATAAATGGCGATTTATAATCTAGTTCAAGTAGGTAGCTGCGTCAGCATGTGTAGGCTGCAAAGGAAGAAGTAAAGGTTTAATCCATGCTGTAAAGAGAAGAAAAGGAACACGTTTCGGCTGTGGAGACTCCACAGCAGAAACATTGCATTTTTTTTCGATTTATAATCTAACTGCTTATAGGATGTGCATAATTTGTCTTATTTTGAAAAAGATGTTAACATCGTTTTTTTTCACTTGATTGATTTTTGTTCTTGACAAATCCCTTTAAAATCAACCGAGGAGTTCATCTAGGCTGTGTCTTCATTGTGCTGTGGTGTCTAGCTAAAGCTGATCAAAATATGAATTCTTGTTCAAAATAAAAAATCTTTCGAGTCTAGAAACACCTTTCTGTTTGTATTGTTTTAACAAATGTATACTTGTAGAAATCCGAGTCTTTTGTTTCATGAGTATCTACTGCAGTGGAAAAGGAAGAATATGTTGAGCCAAATGTCCTTGCTCTTTCCTCCAGCTAATTTTCCCGACAGTGTGGTTGATAACTTGCCAGCTGATATCTGTACTGGCATTTATTATGGCTGGGCCTGTGTCGGGAATGGAGATGTGCACAAAATGGTCATGAGCATCGGCTGGAACCCCTACTACAAGAACACCAAGAAATCAATGGTAATCTGAAACCTTTAAGCTTTACATTTTTGTTTGAAGTTTGAACATTTATTTAATGAAGCTACTGTACGTTAGTTTCAGCTTTGGAATAGCTGAAGTGTCAGTTTCACCAAGTATGTAAATTTACAGTTAAGAGGGAAAAATGGATCTTGCAGTACTTTTTGCCGTGCGTTAGAGATGTGAGGTGACTACATAATTGACATCAGGTTTGAACCGGAGTCCTTCAGTTAACATTAATTACATTAATCAAACAGGTTCAATGTTTGCCTGTTTTAGAGATGCATGAGCTTGCTAGTATCTAACAAAAGTTTATTTTCATGCAGGAAGCGCATATTATCCACACCTACAAAGAAGATTTTTATGGAGAAATGCTCAGCATAGTCATTGTTGGCTACATTCGTCCGGAAAAAAGTTTTGATTCTTTAGGTAAGAAAAATGATTATGTAAAGTACATAACGTCTTTAAATCAGGGGTTTTAATTTCTTTCATGACCTATTGGTATGGACCATGTAACACCTTCTCCCAGCTCTTGGAAGGTGGTGCTTTAAAGAGACCTAGAAAACAACAGATGTCTTCGAGACCTCATTTCCTTTTATTGATAAAACGTCTCGCTTAACTGATCAGAAGCTCACAGGTATTTACTGGTGATTCAGGATAACCCAGAAGGCTAACTACATTAAGGTTTTCTGGAACCAGGACTGGTGGTGCCTGCTCAGAGGATTACCGTTAGTGTTGACTTCATCATGCATAAATGTTTTATCCTGAATTGTATGGAGGAATATCCTATCATATTTCCTAGTTTTGATTTCATTGTCAGCACTTTCATGATTTTGAATAGGTATCATTATGTAGGTAGAGATTAACTTAGAAAAGACAAGTTAAGGAAAACAACAGATTTTCCAGATATGAACGGTAGTACCTGAAGATTGGGTCTATAAGTGGGTGGACCTGTCAACAATGAAAGAGCCTCCGTATTTGGGCTGTAGGCTCTTTATATTGAAAATACTGTGCAAGTTTCACCTTTTCTGACTCCTGTGCACCTGATAGTTTAATTAAAATTGATACAGATATTGCAGTCATGCCTTGTGCAATTTATCTTGAACATCTGAATCAAATTGCATGGTGGGATCAGGAAGCCACAGTCCTGCCATGTTGTAGTCAATTCCACAGTATAGCAGATTGCGTTATAATGCTCTAGCTCAGTACTGGGATGTTTTTGCCATGGGTAGCTCTGGACCGTTACAGTTTGGGAAGTCTTCCTAACTTCCACATTGCTACAGCAATAACAAAAACAAGGCAGTTTAAGAAATGGAGAATACAGGGGATATAAAAACCAGAAACTCCTGAATCCTTAAGGATCAGCTTAACAGGAATCACCCACACTACTGTCATGCTGACCAGCTGCAGACCTATTTTTTTAATCACTGTCTTCTTCTGTTCCTAAGTGTGTAGCAACTGATATTGTTTGTGAAAGCTGACCGTGTTTATATGCCATCACTGGTTTATGGTATTAATACTCCCGGTTCAGTACTGTATGTAGTTTGCTACATTGTAAATGTTATGTGCTGGTGTAAAGCAATACTGTATCTGCTGACTTATTTGAGAGCTTTAAAGTGTCTGTTTACAGTACTTTCTGAAAAGCATTCTTTTCTTCCTGTCGTCAGATGCTCTCATAGCAGCAATTCACAGTGACATTGAAGAGGCACAGAAGAGGCTAGATTTACCTGATTGCAGAAAGTTAAGAGAAGACAACTTCTTCAGGACATCAGCAAACCAAATAATGAATGGCCATTGACTACAGCGATCCTTTCAATGCATGTTATGCTTCCTGTTCACCAGTACAGCTGCATTGATTTTTATATTGTCTGTTATATTGTGTTCTAATAAGTGTGATCATGTTAAAAAGCAAAGAAAGTAACTTAATATGCATTCAGAAGTCGAACACATTTTAAAAGGGTTTATTTCTTTGCAGACCAGCACAGGGACTCCATTAAACTGTCATGTCTTGTGGAACTTTCAGCCACTTCGTGGCATTTGAAGTTTTGACTAATTATAACATTGATTGGCTTATTTATGAGGATCCTGATCAATGTGAATTAAAGATTGCTGCATGACAAGCTTAAATTCTTCTCACTAAAATTAATTTCTATAATAAAGCTGCTATAATAGTAGAAAATGCTAGCCAAGGCACTAAGTAAATTATGCTTATCATATATATATATATTAAGATGCATTGAAAACTCAAATGATATTGCTTTCAGCTCCTTGTCTGTCTAAATTGTAACCTCTGATTGTCTAACACTTATGCACAGTTTTGTGTATGTAAAATATATTTGTATTTTGGCCTACTTTAAAATTTTAATAATCTGCAGTGGTAATTGTATTTTATGTATAGTTAAAGACATTACAACTGTAATGCGAGTGCATCTTCCCACTACTTTTACATCATTGTTATGGCAGAGTCACAAGGCTATAACATGGCAGAATATGGTATCTCTGTTTATATTCATAATACAGTTGTATGTTTGGCTGTGTATGCATGTGTAGATGTATTTTTTTTTATTTTCTGCACTAAACATTTTTAAATTACTTATAAACCTGTTTATAACCATACTCATACTGTATTTTGACCGTATTGTGAAATATCAGCGAACAAGTTCAGATTTAATGTCTTACTGTACCATGTAAAACGCAAAAATGCTATTTGCCATATTCAGAATTGTGGCATTATCTTGAAAATTTTACCATTAATTACCTTGTACTCGATTACGAAGCTCCTGTGAATCAAATGATGAAAATCACTGAGCATCTGCAGTGAGCCTCTTCTTCTTTTTTTAAAATTCCAAATTCCTTAATTTCCTTATTACAGAGACATTTGGCTGTCCTGTATTTTAAATTTTTGGTTTTCACATTTTTAATATGTTCTTTTAAATTTTAAATGGGGATGAGATTCTAGAAGTATAATGAAATGTTTGGTGTGTTATATGAAAATTAAGCCAATGGTTCAATCATTGAGTTTTATTCTGTTTGAAAATGAAGAATTGGTAGCACTTGAAAATACTGTTATAATGCAAACACAATTTCTCATTTTGTGAATCACATTAGAACCTGTGTATTGTATTGTATCCTGTAATGTTCATTCTATTAACCTGTATGCTGTGTTACGTTCTACATGAGTTTTGTTTCCAGAAAAGTGATTCAGTAGTTAAGTAGTCAAATATGAATACAAAGTAAAGGTCATTTTAAAGTTTGCTTTGTAACAAAGCACATCTCTTGTAGTTATGACACTGAAAGAATACTGCATATAGAATTTATTCAGTAAAAGTAAGGGACTATTTGTATATTGTGACATTGTTTTGCAAGATCCTTTTAACCAGCACAACTTGGGTTTTAGTAATATATTTGTTAATGTTTTGTGCTCTTGAATTGAAAATGTTTACTCATCTGCTAAGAACATTTGTCTTTTCACTTGTAAGGACTGGACAAGTATAGACAGACTTGTTAGTAGAATTGTGTTTAACTGAAAAATGCAACCACCTTGTTTAACAAAGATGTCATGGTAATAGTGTTTTATGATAACTGGCTTTCCCTAATTTTATTTTGTTTCTACTAATCAGTGTTTTTTTCACAACTGAAACTAGAGAAATGTTCCAATAAAAGGCACATAGAGTCTGACAGTTTATATAGGTTTCCATGTCTGTTTGTTTTAAAGATGTTTCTAAAAGGAATATCCCCCATCATTTTGATTAGGAGCTAGTTTTCACAATTTCCTGTGTATAATTTCTCTATGAAAATAGTAATTTGTGTTTCTGTTGGTGGGGGAAATAAAACATTCTGATATGTAATCTTCTTCACAACATAAGGATTTGATGGATATGTGGAATACAAGTTATAATGTTACAGACCAATTGAGTGAAATGGAAATCTAGCATACTCTGCACATTTGAACTAAGCAGAAGTACATATTACTTGTAATTGATCCATCAGTCTTTTTCAGGGACCAGCCTCCTTAAAATCGAAGTTCATTCGATTTACTGATCATTTTTACTCCAGAGCTGTTTTTTTTTATTTTCCTGAATTGTTGCGGTAATATCCTGGAAAACATTGTCAACTATTAAAGATGATGAATGTTAAAAATGCAATTCCCTGTTTTCTCTTGTCTTCAGTGATTTACAAGCATGGATTTGTTTTTAATTTTCAAACTCAGAATTGCACAGAATACCATCTTTCAGTTGTTCAGCTATTGAAAATCAAAGACTGGAAGACGAGAAATTTCTAATTGCATTTCGAAAAGAAATCGATCATTTTCCAACCCCCCCCAAAAAATATTTGGGAATACCCTTTTACTCTATAATGTAAAAACAATTACCAGTGTAGATGGTTGAGAAAATCACCAGGCCTAGAAAATGGGTCAAGAAATTTGATTCTGTTGTCATTTTTCTATGATATGACTTTTAGACTTCGAAGGGAATTCAGAACTAATAACATCATACAATAAGAATGTTTAGGAAAATGTATTGAGGAGTCAGGCATAAGAAGCGTCCGTGTTCTTAAATTCGAAGTTAGAGTAGCAGTAATAATGGAGATCGTGGCTGCAGTCATTCCTCCCAAACTTTGGTTAAAAAACCTTTTCATCAGTGCTTGTCTTTTTGTAAATTTGAATTATTTACAAAGGATATTAAATGCATTTGTACTAGCTTGTGGGATATTTGTGATTAAACCTCATTTTCCATAGACATTGTATTGCAAGACAAAATGTTCCTTATTTTGGACGTTGGATTAAAATTGTCAGTAAGCATTATCTTTTGAGTGTTAATTTATAGTGTCTTTTAAGTATGTTTGATGTTTAATCAAACATAATGATACTCAATTTTTTTAGACTTTCTAAACTTTTATTGCTATATATTTCTGTTGTTTAACTCAATGTTTAACTGTAAATACAAATGAAGATAGTGCACGTACCTTGAGTGTTGTATCCAAAATCGTCCTAATTCTACAGCTGTCACCATGACTCAGCATGAATCCACACACGGAGGCAAAAATGCCAGGAATGAAGTGCAACAGGTTTATTTCCATTAAGCACATGTATCTCTTTATTTTGTTAACAAACGTTTATTCACTAACAAACACAAATGGTCACATCAAGAACAATTGACTAGGAAAAAAGAATAAGTATACTTCCTGCCAGCAATGCAGTAAGACAGGTTAATTTACAAATATGGAGCTTTTTATTTTTAACTATATTCCTAAACATATGGTTACATCAAAAAGAGATCACTAGGAAAAAATAATTATATTCATTAGAAATCAGCCAGTGCAATACAGAATACTGAAACAACCAACAACATAATTCACATAAAAATGTAAAATGCAAGACAACTGTTTTTAAAACATTTCATTCATTTTAAGATGCAGAAAGAAATTTGATCATCTACTGTGACATTTAGAAAAAGACTTCTTCATACTAGTTTTATTTTACAGTATATTAAATTTTACACCAATAGAATTGCATTTAATTTGTTCTCTGTGGCATCTTGAATTTCACAGCCTAAGGATTACCCACAGTAATTTGTATAGATGAAGTAAATACCCTCCTTATTGCCCTGTCTTTGAACAGGGCCATACAGGTTGTGAGCCAGACAGCCTTCAAGTTAATATTTGCATAGCATCAAATGTCTCATAGTGATGCGCCATCAATCGTGTGCTTTCCTAATATTTTCTGAGGATTTACAGCTCTTCTCCCTTGCCTTCACCTTGCGTTGCTTTGCCCTGCCTGTTAGTTCTCCAGCACTTTAGATTTGTTTTGTAACTTTTTATTTCCAGTCAAAAACGTTTCTTCTTCAAGCCTTACAAGCAAATGTGCCTGTGCTCCAAAGGAAAGGCTACACTGGTGAGAGTAATGGCACTGCTGTCAAACTATCTGAAGAAGTCAACATTAAGAGTTCTAAAAAAGTGAGATCTATCCATCCATGCCATCTTGATAATACTGGCCATAATCGAGCAGTTATGATCTAATGATGATGCAGTCCACAACAAGGTCATTATGTCAAGACATTCAAGTTGATATAGACTGATTTTAAAAATATTTGTTATGTTATGGTCAGCTTACATTAAGTGCAGTTTTGTCTTGCTTGGTATATTACAAATGTATACAGTGGCTCGCTAATACTATTTGTGGGTATAGCAAAATTGGTATTAGAAGCAATACAGACTGTTTTAAAATAGAATTTAAATTCTGAAGAGTTTATGGAGGACGGAACCTTCCCACTCTCAAATCAGATTCGCTGAACCACTTAGGTTAATTCCAAAAACGAGGTGGGGTCCTGTCAGGGGTATGTACTAAAAAAATTAGGAGAAACGACCCCAGCGGTCATTTACACTATCGAAAAGAATAGCTCTCGTCGTCATACTCGAGCTCCTCATCGTCGTCGTCTTCCAGCAGTCCATATTTGAATTTGCGATAGACTGTCCCATCCTGACCCATGTATACAATGTCTTCATCCTCGTCGTCATCTTCCTCTTCCTTCTCCGTACGGTCTCGGAACTCCACCACATGATCGTCGAGGTGCCGGCTGGCGCTGCTCGACTCGAAAGAGGAGGCGGACTTAGTGCTGTTGCCCAGTTTCTCGTAGCCGGATTTCTCTGTGGGGGGGTCCTTGGAACGAGATCTCAGAAACAGGAAGATAGCGCCACCGATTCCCAGGATAAGCAGGATGAACGTTGTGATGAACAGACCTGGTTTTCCTGCATAATCCGTATGCAGGATCACATAGTTATCTTTCACAAGGCACTCCTCTGTAAATATAAATACGTATTAGTGCAGGAAGACAACTGCAGTTATGTCTTTGAAACAACCGAACATCAGTATCAAAAGTGTCCTTAGTACAGTACATGTTGAACTTAGGCTTTGTAAAATAACCACATTAATGAAATCACAAATGCACAAAACCAGAGAAGACACTTTGTAAATACAGAAGAACTCTGATGTTTTGTTATAGTAATACCCAATTTATAAAATGGTATTTGGTGTATTAGATAAATGTTAACCACTTGTTATATCCTTTCCAATGAGAGTTTCATACCTCAGTACCTCTCAGTAATACACAGCTGCTTATCTGGGCATTTCTAATACTTGAACATGTCAATTGAAATCATATACAGTAGTATAGTTACTACATATGTACAATGTCCAGTATTTATAATATTATTGACCTGTTTCACATTTTAGAAAAAAGTATTTGTAATTCTTAAACAGAGGCTTTGAGGTTTAAATATGCTCTCTAATCTGAAAATGTGAATCTTATTATCTTGTTATATGTCACATAATTGCAGAGTCTCGAAATGCAGATCAACAAGGTAACAGCATATTTGTCTAAGTGTAGATGTCTATATTGTGAAATGGGACTTTGGGGATTTCTGGGTACAGAGAGGAAGGTTTTACATGAAACAAATGGGTGAGGCAGGTCACAGGGCAATATAGCAGTGCTCTGTATTAATAAAGGTGCTAATGATATTGGGGAAAACAAACACACCATGATTCATAATTCTCCACTGTACATGACCAGTTCCTGACAAGAGGGGATGACTAAAACACCATCCACGCAGAAGGTAATTTACCTGTTGTTTCTGTGCAGTTACAACATTGCATAGGCTGGGGATAGAGAGTAGAATCACAGCACTCGAGACACTGACCATCAGGGGACAGGAGGTCAGTGACATGACACAGTGTACAGTTTGAAGGACCAGGTCCTTTACACTCAGTGCAGGAACTGTGGCATTGCTCACACTTCAGATTTGGTCTCTAAAGGGAACAAAGTTAAATAGAGGCATTGGGGAAAAAAGTATATGTTAATTTCGAATTGAAAACTAGCATAAAGAATGACAGGGTTTTGGCTGCTTAGCCTTCTTCAGATGTGAGGGAGAAAGAGTAAGATTATGAAACACAGGAGAACGAAGGACAGAGTAGGTGAGAATAGGCCACAGGTGAGAAAGTGTCTAAACAAGGGAGTTTTGGGGGAATACCTTCTGAGCAAATTATGCTTAAGCAGTGAAAAAATCAACTTAGATTTGGAAAAGAGATACATACAAAACATCTACATAGTATTACTGTGAGGACCACAGTCGGAGACAAAGGGATAATCTCACCTTGCAGCAAATTCTATATTTCAGAGGCATTGTAGTAACACAATTTTGTCAAATAATTAAATGACTATTCATAATTCATACCTCAGAGACAGCGTATTCTCCAGAGAAACATTCTGAACTACACATTCCTGCAGAGAATCTATAGCCGAAATAACAAGATTCACAGGACAGTGCTCCTTTGTCTGCAAAAATAATAGGTCAATCATATCACTTTCTGGCTAGAAATTTCAAGAAAAGAGATATAGCATGCAGTATTTAAAAGCTATGTACAAATGAAAAAAATATAATATGGTGTTCCATCAAAATATTCTATAATTCTATTAAAAAGCCAAGCTTCTATTAATAAAGGCAATGATAAAGCTTAAAAAGATATACATTAAAATTAACAAAGAAGGACCAAAGGTTCAACCCAAAATATTAAAAAAAGAAAATGTCCAGAAGCTACTATTATTGCCAGACAGACTTTTCAACAATGTTATTTGGTTCTCCTAGTCTATAGCAATCATATTTCAGTAAGTAGTCACTTAAAACACAAACATCCTGGCATTCCATTTTGCACAGCCAGATCGTAAAAGGTTGGGAACAAAATTAGATATCCCAGGAATCACAGTTTGTTGCAGTCATTTGCAGAAATAATTCTCAGAAGAATATATGTTTATAGCCTCAAAAAGGCTATATTTTACTATTATAAAACTGTAACATGCCTATTTTTCTTAAAATAACAGGTTGTTTAAACAGCCCCATTTTCTTATTGTGTGAGTTCATTCCATTCAATGTGTATGTGTGAGAAGATGGCAGATCTTGTGTGAACTATATTCCCCCCAAAAAGCTGTTGGGAATGCCTTACTCTCTGTGACCTTATGAATTAGAGGAATTAAATGGCTATGTGAAGATTAAAAAAAAAACATATGCAGAGGCTTGAAGTGGTCAGAATCTGTTGTGGGGAGAACGAAAGCAGATCTAGGAATTAACACTTTGACTGCGATTTGGACACTGGACTTTGCCTTTAGATAGAATGGAGTATTGGAAAGCAGTGGTTAGCATTATTGTCTTGCTGCTCTGGGGCCCTGGGATGCTACTGTATATGGAAGGAGTTTGTATGTTCTCCTGGTGTTGCAAGGGTTTGCTCCAGGGGCTCCAATGACCTTCCACACTCTTAAGACATACTGGTAGGTTGATTGGCTTCTGGGAAAATTACTCCTGGGGTGAATGTGTGTTTGTCTGTGTTTATGTGTGCCCTGTGAAGACCTAGTGTTCCATCCAAGGTGTGTCCTCCCTTGAAGTCCACTGCTTGCAAGGATAGACTCTGGCTCTCCCGTGACCCTGTATTGGATATAGCAGTCAGAAGATGAATGGACAGTATCCTATAGGTCACTCAGGAGTATGTTTCTGTCTATGTTTGTCTGCCCTGTGATGGACTGGTGTCCTGTCCAGGGTGTATCCTGCCTTGTGCTCGCTGCTTGCTGAGATTAGGCTCTGGCTCATCCATGATCCTGAATTAGAAGGTGCGATTAGAGAATGAATGAAAATGGTCAAGTATTATGTGAGGGTGCAGGTAAACAGCACAGATGAATGGTCTAATGTTTAGGTAGGGATTAAAGGAGTTTTTTTTCCTAATAAACATACATTGCACCAGAGTTAAACAAGTACATTTTTCATCTTGCTTCTTGTACAGTAGAGGATGGAGTAAAAAGAGCTCTGCAGAGGTAAGTGAAGCTGGAATATTGTTTAACGACATGGCTAGGCAACTTCTTCCACACTCATACTAACCATAGAGTAAAGAGCTGCTTCCTGTTCTCCGTTTCAAGTGCACTTCTTTATAGTTCCCACTTGAGTTCTTTCGTTTGTGTTTCACTGTTTAAGTGATAAGTCTGCTCAATTTGACTTTATCAGTGCCTTTGAGAATTTTGAATATTTGCGGGTAAGTTAAAAAAAAAGCTGAACCCCTCTCCCTACAAATCTGACTAGCAGCATGTGATAATTATTTTAATTTTCTAATATATTACTCCTTGAAGTCTTCCATTGATGAGAAACAATCTGAAAAGTTCTATGAATAACGATTTCCTAGTTTGTAAAGTTCTGTTGTATTACAATAAAGAGAATAAAAAAGGAACAAAGGAATAAAATTCTTTATGATAAAGAATCAAAAAAGGAAAGCCCTCACAATCTAGACAGAGGGTCACTGAATGTGATCTTTTTCAATCGAAATGTTCTAATTTGAAATACTGTATGTGTGACTTTGTCACAAATGGGCTTGTTTTGTTTTGTTTGTGTGTATGTAAAAAGAGGCAGCATGAAAACAAAAATATGCTTCAAACCTCTCCCTACCTTTGCAGGTCTTACAGGTTGCATGACACCTCCTGCATGTCTTGTCTTCTGTGTTTTTATAGTAATTCTCTGGACATGATTTATAACATCTGCCCTGAGCTCTCAGGAAGAAGTACTCATTGTGGCAGCTCAGACATTGTGTGTTCCCTCTTCCCACACAGTGCTCACAGCTTGGATCACATTTTTCACAAACTTCAGTGGATACATTGGCATAATAACTGGAAAAAAGTAAATTTGTTACAGGGTATTTCAGTATAAAGCCCTTCATTTAAGGTTTTGTGTCCTAGTCTTTCAGTAAGACTAACACATGATGAAACAGTAACTGATTCAACAGGGTTTGTATAATGTCACTATTTATGAGTAACTGTAGGACACATTTTTGAACCATTGACATATGTTCTGGTGTATTACATTTTCAAAATTATTTCCAAGCAGTTTTTCAGACTGGAGCTATATACTTTTGGTTCTAGACTTGGGAGGTAATGAATAATGCAGTGTAAACCGTAATTAATTTATTTCAATTACATTTTTGTAATTCAAAGTCCCCAAATCAAGTAAACAAAAATATAAAGATTAGGAGATTACAAGATCGAGGTTTATTGCAGGTGTAGAAATTGCCTAAAAAGATATCTTGGGCATCTAAGAGAACTCAGCTCAAAAAGATTAAAAATGTTCACTTGTCCATGGAAATATAGTGACTACTAGTGGTGAAACTTTTTACAAGTCTCATTTAGGCCGGTATGAGCACTGACTGCTTAAAAATATAACATATCTGCCCTTTTCAAATATAAGCCCATAAACGAACAAGTGAAGACCTTTATTTTTTGTTTATTATTACTAATAGTTGTGTTTTTACTTTAACAAATTAGCCACATTGCACATTCCCAGGGATATTTGAAGCCTTCTTAGATTGAATTAGTGATGATATTCTGATTAAGCTGTGATGTGATGAGGTCTTGCTCTTTGTCATGACCATATTTACAAATGAATAATATATGTTTAACCAACCTATTTATAACAGCTTCCTACCTTTTTTGCTAACACTGTCGTGTACAGATAACCTTAAGTACCTGTCTTTAACTTCAGTTAACCACTAGACAAGGAATACAGAACATTAGACAGCTCTAGATAGAGACTCCTCTCAGGGACTGAATCCCAATGTATCCCAAAATACATTGAGAAAAAAATCCTTTCAGACAAAGGTTCACCAATGACAGAAGACCAAAAGAGAAGAATTAGACATGGTGGAATCCAAAACATTAGAACATTTATATGGTTGAATCAAATAAATCATTGCAATTTGTGTATTCTTAGGTGACATACCCTGTTCTGCAGCTAATAACACATTCTTCTCCTTGTCTGTAGAAGCCAGGTTTGCAGGTGAGGCACTGGATGCTGTGTTTACCACTGCAAGACTGACAAGTCATGTGGCAGTGGTCACAGAGATTGCGTTCCTTGTCACTATAGTATCCAAGTGGGCACTGATCCACACAGGTGTGATCTGTAGATACAGTACGTGTTTAACACAGAGGCGGATATTTTTAGACAGAACCTTGCTTTAAGAATACCTTACATTAATGTTGCTAATGAAAAGAATAAAAAACACATATATAAAAAACACAATTTATAAGGTGAAATTAATAGGTTGTGTAGGAATGCCCTTACAAAGGGAACATTTCCCATTCAAAGGCATTTGGGTGCTGGATAGTTTATCAGATTTTATGTGGTATTGTCAAAGACAGCACAACTTACAACTGAGAACTCTGATAACTTTCAAGTATATTTTTCAGAAATGAAAGATTAAATCTTGCATTCTTTTGTTCAGTCTTTAATTGACACGTTTCTATTAAAAGGTTGCTCATTTTTTCAATTAAACTTCAGTGCGTAAAAACTACTGTATAACATAAGTAGTAGTAGATTTAGTTTCTCAGTTAATTGAAACATGAAATCAAACTTTCCAGATAGTTCAAAAATAAGGACAGATGTTGTGTTTTTGCTTTCAAACTAAAGCTGTAGTAGCTGTGAAGTGAAGGGGGGGTCAGTACTCACTTAGCAAGTAATAGTTTTTGTTGCAGCTCAGGCACTCATACTCCGAAGGTCCAGCGCAGAGGTGACAGCTTGTGTGACAGGGTCCACATCGTCCCTCTTGGTCCTTGTAGGAACACATAGGAACACAGTGGCCATGCTTACTTTTCTGCATGCCTTCCCTGCATGTTGTGCATGATGTTGAGTGAGGATCTGAGCAGGTGCCACACGTCCAGTAACAGTCTAAATAAAAATAAAAATGATGTAATGTAGATGCATAGGACTTGATTTGATCTAACATTTCAATCTGTGGAAAAATTTAATTTGAAGTAGGATGGGAAAAGGTACCCAGCCATGTGGCTGATACTTGGGCTTCCTTCAAGAAATGGCTGGATAATATCCTGGATCAATTAAATACTGTAGAACTACCAAACAGGCCAGATGAGCTGAATGGCCTCCTTTCATTTGTAACTCTTCTTATGTTATAAACATTAAGGCTTAGATTAAATAAATGCAAACTTCAGCTCCAATGCCAGCAGCTAATTTGAAATAAGTTATTTAGAGATGGTAGTTTTCCATTTGCTTTAGGCTTCCTCACAGGAAATGATGTTCCTCACAGAAATTATGTTCACCACCACCAAGTAGTTTTGAAATGTGTGATTGCCAGTTGTCAAATTCATTCATACTGATGTGAAGTGATATGACTGAAATGTGAAACAAATGTCAAAATGAAAACACAATTATTATTTGGTAGGGCCTCCCTCACACAGCCTGTTTTATGGTTGTGAAACAGAATATTATGTAATTTACGCATGTAAAATGTCCAATATCACTTCACATCAGTATGAATGAATTTGACAATATTTTGTCCATAATTTTTTTTTTGTTTTGATATCTATTGTTGTAACAGACAAATAAACAACTGAGTTTATTGCATGCAAGGAACAATAAGATCAAAGAAATTGATCTTGAAATTGTGAAATTGAAATTGTTGAAATTGATGAAATTGTTCAGAATTATAGGTACAAAACTGCAGTTTATATAGTAAACTTCAGCCGTTTCTGACACAAACTGTTACTATGGTAATGGTGGGGGGTCACCTGTGTTCTCCAGACCTTGAACACATTGAATGGCTGGTCTCTTCTTCCCATGGTTAGGGAATCTCTCGCTAGCACTTGGTATCTCTTATTAGTTAACTCCCATCCCTGCCATAACTCAAAAGTGCTTAAGCATGGAATGTCTTGTACCAAAAGAAGTCTTTGTGCAGAAAGAAATCAGTTTGCCCTTTTTTTCATCTTATATCTTTCTTCACTATATTTAAAATAGTTGATTAAATTCACTGTTGAATTTTGCATGTCTCTTGTGCTAAAGTATTTATTTTTAATATATATGAAATATAAATATATATTATTTTAGAAGTATATTTCAGTATATTTATTCCAGGCCTACATCTGCCCAATTATTCATTGTTAACTTATCAACAAATGAAGAGTCAAGATTACAATAAGGAAAGGAAATGTTATCACACAGTCAATTGAGCACGGAAGACTGTAAGACTTCATGGTGCCATTTGTTTTAAGGTATGGCTTTAACGTTTTTTTACAATATCAACAAAGCAGTGTGGAGCAGCAGTAAGGGTTCTGGACTGGAACTTTGGGTAAAAATTACAGGTGAGACATACTGTTGTACCCTTGAGCAAAGTATTTCACTTCAATTGTTCCCGCAAAATACCCAGCTATATAAATACAGTAGGTGCAAATGTATGCTTCAGATAAAAGTTCAAGCACAGTAAATATAAAATATTTTTAAGGTTAATAAAATTAAGTTGTAGCTATAAAGTACTCCGAATTACACCCCTACACTTTGATAGAGAGACCACTATATTATGTTGCAGTTTGCAGAAGATTCAATGAAAAAAAAAAGTGCTGAATAGTCTGAACTTGCTGAACTTTGACTTTTGTCAGTTTGTCTGAGAACTGTTCTAAAAGGCAAGCCTATGATTGTCATCTTTGGGTAAGGATGTTTAATTTGGGATGTTGCTGTTTTTCCATTTTGTTCTTGTTATTTGGAGCTAATGTCAAATAAGTCCTTTTGACACTTGGAAATTCTGCCACATACAGTTAAAAGTTGTGGTTCTGTGGGAGTTTCTCTTTAACTGTACCATAACCCTGCTGATAGATGGGTCTGTTATGTACTGTACTATTACAGTGTCTTGAAGATCTCCTGCTAGCTTCTACCAGCAATCAATTTAGTGCTGTTGTTATCAACGAGAAGATTCATCTGGATTGTATTTCCTCTTATAAATACTGGTCATGTACATTGCTTAGCAGTCTTATAGCTCTTAACAATTAAGTTTACATACCTCTACACTCTTGTGAGTCCAGATCATAGTATGTGCCTTCAGGGCAATTTTGGACACAGGCTCCATTGTACTTTAATGCTTGGAGGTTGGCACATTTGTCACAGTCATCCTCATCAGGACCATTACATTCTGCACAGTCCTGGTGACAGGGCTGGCAATCGTTATTCATCGTGTCTGCGTAATAACCCAAGGGACACTCATCCACACAGCTTTCTTTATGCAAGAAAAACGCACTGTCACACTCTGCCAAGAGAAAGTCCCAAACAGAGTTAAACAAGGTTACTCTTTGACAAAATCTGTAGACATTTTTTTTTCTCTAGAATGTCCCATTTCTATTTAACCTTTAACAAAAACATTTGGTTTCTATCTTCAGCATTATCGCTTGGATCTTTAGTTCAGCAGTTAACAATATAGAGACACAGTTGCTTACAATGGCATTCCCTTGACAACACAAGACGATCTTAGTGAGGCCATCTTTCTGTATCACAGTGGCTCTCCTTTCGTCTCCTTTCATGACAGTCTTTTATTTTCACACACCTGTGCATTGCTAATGCCAGGCTTTTAATTGTACACAATAGCTTTGTGAGTGACTCCTGAGAAAATGCCAAGTTAATGCCCTGTTGGGGTTACCTAGTGAAATCTTTAAAAAAGGTTTAAATGTACAGGAGGAACGCAATATGTGACAGATACAGTAGGTGGGGAGAGAACAACTCATTTAGCGTTTAATAAAAAATAAGTTTTATTGTCATATCCTTAGAGATGGTATGGTTGTGTGAGAATGAACACTGCAGACTTACAATGCCTTCCAGGCTCCTTGGTGTAGGCTGCCAGACTATATTCAAAATAATTAAAAACTCATTATGATCCTATGGGGAAATATTCCCCAATCTCCATTATGTCCTCCAGGGTTTAAAGTTCTTTCTTGTTATAATTGTGTATGTATTTGTGGGTACGATGATACACAGGATAAGGGTATCTAGTTAGTAAATACATCATAATAAAGATTAGGAAAAAGTTTATTCCATGCTGAAAAGAGACCAGAAAAAAAGAGTCTCGCCCAGAGAAGGCTCCACAACGGAAATGTTGTGTTTCTTTTGGAATAAACCTTTACTGTTCCTTTGCAGCCTACACATGCTGACAGAGCTACCTACTTGAACTACATAATTAAGATTAGTCTTTTTTTGCAATGTTCCCTTTTCATAATTGACTTTTGTTGTTTGATGTGGTATCAGGTCAGAATTTTGCAATACTTTACCACTGGCAACCAAAAATGTAATTGACCTAAACTTTCTATATTTTTGTCCATCCAAAGTGGCACCTGTGACCCTTTTGATATTGTTTTAAATTCATATATATTTTAAAAGATGTGTTCTTGACTTTCTTCTATGCATTAAGTGCAGGGTCCAGGAGAGCCACTATTCAGTTAGGTTTATAGGTCACATTTGTCTAATACTTGGTAACATTATTAACTTATTCCTGTAACTTATTGATCAATCAATGAAGTAATCTTAAGGGGCAGAAGGGCACTATGGCTAACAATGAGATTGCTCCAAGTCTTTAGAAATTGGTGATTTGATTGAACACTTTCTTGATCTGGGCTCATGAGGACATGGGTTGGAGATCCCTGAGATTGTTAACTCACACTATGGAAGAGCAGTATTTTTAAAAAATGTTTTGTTTTTTAGATAAATAGTTTTATCTCATCTTACACTTGTACAACGTTTTAAATTGATTTTTATAACCTCTGGCAAAATCACTGCTTGAATTCAATACGTTGGATGCCACTGTACAGTATGTGCAGGTGCAGTATGAGAACTGCCAGGAATCATATACTTGACAGTTTAAAGTTGAAGGAATACTGAGCCTCTGGCATCTACAGAAATTGGGAAGTGAGTGTCTGATCTGTGTTTGCTAGATATATGGCATTCATTTAACCCTTTGGCCAGAGGATGTAGTTGTTTGACTGGCCATAAATCATGCCTTAGAACTGATTATATCTTTGCCCCTCAATCTCTTTTTCTGTTGCACCCAAAGCTGATACTACCAATGTTGCCATCACAGATCACCATGTTTCTGCATACTCATACTAACCGAAGTGTGGTGATGACTCAAGTGTGGTTTAAAAGTGCCCCCCACTGGCATGCTTGAGTACTTAATGGTGAAATTTCAATGGTGTCTTGCTGCATTAAATACAATATATTATTAGGAACAGATACTGCACACTCACCTGTACAGGTACCATTAGAACTGCACTCCTTACAATCTGGTGGGCAACGCTGGCAAATTCCATTACTTGGGAAATACCCAGTAGGGCATGTTTTGCCACACTCATGATTGTATAGTACATATTGCTGAGTACAGGACAGGCAGTATGTGGAATTATTCATACAGGATTTACACTCTGGGGAACACTTTGAGCAGATAATGTTGAAATCTTCAAAATATCCTCTAAGGAGAAAGAAACATTTTATTAGCTATAACAAAATACAACTGATAAATTCAATGAACAGTTTGAAAGCAAGAGGATAATGACACATTGAAAAAGGAAGCTTATTTACAGTAGCTTTGTCATCGGCCTATTGTATGTTGCTCCACCTCAGGATGTGGTGGTAGATTTTCTCCAATGTAGTACTTTTCTTATCCTCTGCCATTTCTTCCCTCTGTGTCAGAACCACAGAGCTCAATGCTGTTACATTCTCTGTGTCATTTGGGAAATCTTTACCACACCAAAGTTTCCCTTGATCTCACCCTCAGTTCTCTTATCTCCCCTGCTAACATCATCCTCTTAGGTGACTTTAATATTTATATAACAGACTCTAGTCATTCCACAGTACTCCTTCCTCTTGACTCCTTTTGTTTTCAGCTGTCTTCCTATTGACAAAACTGGTCGCAGACTGCATACTATCTTCTTTTTCCTGGTGTTACTCCCACTTTCCTATTTCTGACCACTGTGAATCACCAAGAATTCATATTTACTCTTCAATTTGTGTGCAAGTTTTGTTTCTGCAAACCCCTTTCTCCATTCTTTCACATCTCCTGCATTCCTCCTCCATCTTTCTATTCTTTCACACCTCTATTTATAAACTCAGCTTCTTACTCTTGAACTCTAAGCCATAATTAATACTGTACCTCTCTATTATATTCAGGCAGAATAACATCAGGCAAATTACACAAATCAGAGAAACAATGATTTGAATCATGGAACTAAAAGATCTAGAACTGGACTCGCTACGTTCTTTCCTTTGGACGAATCAAGCTTGCGCTGACCCTAGACAACAGTATTTCCCCTTCCTCAGTGGCAGCAAACCGTACATTGAAGAGACTGATACGGAATTAAGAAACGTCAATAGAGCGAACAGTTTAGACTTTGACACTGAAAACAACAGAAATAACAGTGTACAGACTTTGATATTGAAAACAGCAGAAATCACAGTTTAGACTTTGACATTGAAAACAGCTGGCCTTACTATTCAGAATCTGGATCTAAAGAGCTAATCTCAGATCTGTTTTTGATCTTTTAGCGGAGACTCTTTACACATAGGTTTTGCAACTGATCAGATTGTCTGATAGATAAAGATAAAGCTCTGATATGCTCCAATAACATATGTCATGAACTCCTTTACTTGGTGTTTAGCAAATCCTGTGACTTGAAGGTGTACTTATTGATCTGAACACTTGGAATGGAGATGTCTGGCAGAGTATCAAGAAGATTGCTTTGTATCCTCTCCATTTCCCATTCAGCTCACCATAGTACACAGGCTACAATCTGGACAGATCTGGCCAAGGATCCAGGATATCTTCACAGCTATTGTAGATCTCATTCTGCATCTGCTGCACAACAGGCCCTGTAACTCTACACTGATTTCTCAGTGCAGAATCATTTATAATAATAATAATAATTCCTTACACTTATATAACGCTTTTCTGGCCACTCCACTCAAAGCGCTTTACAGGTAATGGGGACACCACCACCTCCACCACCACCAATGTGCAGCATCCAAGTGGATGATGCAACGGCAGCCATAGTGCGCCAGAACGCTCACCACACATCAGCTATTAGTGGGGAGGAGATCACAGTAATGAAGCCAATTCATAGATGGGGATTATTAGGAGGCCATGATTGGTAAGGGCCAATGGGAAATTTGGCCAGGATGCCAGGGTTACACCCCTACTCTTTTCGAGAAACGCCCTGGGATTTTTAATGACCACAGAGGGATCAGGACCTCAGTTTTACGTCTCATCCGAAGGACAGCGCCTGTTTACAGTATAGTGTCCCCGTCACTATACTGGGGCATTAGGACCCACATGAACTGCAGGGTGAGCGCCCCCTGCTGATCCCACTAACACCTCTTCCAGCAGCAACCTTAGTTTTTCCCAGGAGGTCTCCCATCCAGGTACTGACCAGGCTCACACCTGCTTAGCTTCAGTGGGTTGCCAGTTGTGAGTTGCAGGGTGATATGGCTGCTGGCATATGTCACTGAGAGGTTTTTAACTCCAATGTGGGGGTATTTATTTGGAATTGTCAGTAAATGCATTTATGTAGTTTATTAGATTCCAACTCTTCCTTATGCCTCTGAAAGTATAAAAACTGACCAGACCAAGAAGTGAATTGTACAAAATGTTTGTCTCTTCATGCTGAGAAAGCAATTGATGCTGCATAAAAAACTGTTAGTTCAGCTGTTGTTCAGCTGATGGGTGGATTTTCATTGGTATTCCAGTGTTCTCCCCCTTCCCAAAGACTTTAGGTTAGGGTTGATTGGTTTCTGCTGTCCCTTTCACTATAGCAGACAAAGGGGTTTCATACTTGAGGTGTTTACTGTACTGTAAAACACAGAAATTCAGAACAAGATGAGCTTGCTGTATTGACTGGATTCTTGCCATCTTAGTTTACCATGAATGTTTTCTCTGTCGTCCCTTCTTTCTTTTTTTTTGAAAAATTCTCATATCATCCTGATCTTCAGGAGCCCTTTATTGTTTCCTTCTTCAGAAACATTCCCTCCTTAGCCCTTTACAATGTGGGTACAACTGTACACAGTCTATGAAAACAAACTTCTCTGTCACTGATTTTCCATTCTGTTGTGATTTTCCTAGTTTTGCCTGCCATTAACACCTTCAATCATGATGTTTTGCTGTCATCCTTTTTGGACTTAGGAATCTTTGACTTCATGCTGTTCATGCTGGAATTTTTCCTTACATCCAGGTTTCAGGATGTAATTTTCTCTCTCTAAAGACCATGCTCACTGTGTTCATTTCCCTCTTAACCTTCTATACTCTTAGAGTATTCATTTCATTTTCATTCACTTTCCTCTCCACACACATATACATAATGTTTATTCACACAATAAAAACTTTCTATATGCGTATGACACAGTGGTCAAACTTTAGATTAGAATCAGGTTATTCTGACCTTGGACACTCAGTTACACATTTTCCTTTAAACAAATAAAGAGTATTTTTTTCCCCAGCGAGACACTTCAGACATTGGCTCTTCTCTATGCACTCTGCACAGCCTTTTTTGCAATCCTCACATTTCCAACTGGAAGCATTAGCAAAGGTTTTACTGGGACACTTTTCAACACAGGTTTGTTGTGCGGTCAAAAAGCGACCTGAAACATAACAAAAGTGTTCATTAATGTGCATGAATGTGCCTTTTGTCTGTTGCAACACAAATCAAAATGGACAAATGAAATAATTTACTGTAACAACTGAGATGTTCAGAACTATTTACCTTGATCACAGGAATTACACTCACTTTCTTCTGTACCCGAGCATGTTTTACAAGAGGGATGACATTTTTCGCAAACACTTTTATCTGGAAAAAAAGAGTGTTTAATAAGGAATAATATTTTGCAAGAATTTTGCCATAGAACAGAAATGAAAGATTCTCTAGAAGCCTGGAAGAGATGAATAGTTATAAAATTATATATCATCTGGAATGAGACTCAGTCTCACACCATATACTAATCCTAAATGAAGAATGGGATCGTCAAATGTCGTCAAATGGAAAAATGAGGTGAAACTGTAGTTTCCTGTGGTTCCTGTGATTTGTTGTGCAGCTACGGCAGGTGATTCTCCTTGTCCAGATACTTGTAAGATCTGGACATTTCCATGCAGCTAGGCACTAATAATCACTTTTCAAAAACATTGTGAGGTCAATGAAAGATGCCATCTTTATCTCAAATGGAAGTTCAGCCTTAGTTCTTTACATAGATAAGCACTATCTATAAATAAGAACACATCTTGTAGACCAGTAGGCTAGTGGGGTTTCGGTTCTATGATAATCTATAGCACAATGTTCTTTTAGAGTTCATATGATCCATAACATACCGTTAAGGAAGGATCTCTCATCACAGGGACTGTTGATACCCTTGCATTTTCCTTTTACTGCCTGTGCATTTCCTGGGCAAGAGTCACAGTCATCTGAGTAAGGTCCTCCGCAGGTTCTACAGTCCTGGTGACAAGGTTTACACTCTTGACTTTCTTGGTCACCATAGAGGCCATCATCGCACCTCTCCACACATTCATCATCTGGAAGTTAACACACCATTTTAGCCTTTTGTAGCCATAGGGTTTGCAAAACATACGTTTACATCTAATTACAGTAACAAGAAGATCACTTTTTTAAAACTTTTAAAAAAAGAGAAGCTGCCAAGCTGCCATTTTCTTTATTAAGGTCTACTTGTGGAAACAATTCCTTACTGCTTTCCATTCTCTGAAATGACACAATACAGCAACAATGTCTGTCACATACAGTACTGCCCCAACTCACTCACCGAAACAGGGTTGGTTATTAAGTTATGGTGTGCCATCTCCTGGAATATCAGACACAAGATATAATAGTCTAATGGTCTGTGTTGATTACAGTTGCTTCAGGAGGTGTAGGTTCCGAGTTCTCTGTATCTGTCCATTTTAGTTTTGAATAGAGAAGATGTGAGGTGACTGATAAAGTATTCAAAATCCTCAAGGGAATTGATAAACTCAAATCTTCAGAATAGGCAGTGACATGTAAACCAGAAGACACAAGTAGCTCCACTATGTGGAGGTGCTTTAAAAAAAGAACAAGAGAAGCTTCTTCAACCAAAGGTTTGTGGGAGTATGAAACAAGCTACTTAGCCATATTGCTGAAGCCAAAACCCTGATTTTTTTCAATAAATGACTGGATGAGATTTTTGGATAGTTTTACTACTACTACTACTAATGATAGCACAGACAAGGGAGCACTCACGGGACAAGAGCATGTAATTAAATTCAATGGAACATGGTCAACTTGTAAAATTAATATTTACAACCACTATAGCTGCAGAAAGTCCTGTTCCAGTGGGAGTCACTTTGGCACGTTTCCCATTTTCCTCAATGGCTGATAACATTGTCACATCAGTTTATTCCTGATCTCCAGCAGGTGGTGCCACAACATCATAGTATATTTATTCAAATTCAGGTTCATTGCCCCTCTTTCTCTGTATATATATCATTCAAAGATTTGGAAATACTATGTATAGATGAGCATGAAACAAGAGGTTTGTTGTTATTTTCTGTAAATCCTAAATTCACTAATATCTTCTTATCCCTGAACTGTGTGTCTTTTTTATAATCTACCTCAGACTTTTATTCTGTACATGAAATGATAATGACTCAATTCCAGTGTTTCCAAGTATAAAATTCACATCCCTGTAAGCAGTTGTGATTTTTGTCTTGAAGCTTTCCCAAGCTGTACAAACACCTTTCTTCCTTTCTTGATAGCTTAAAGCTTGATACATTTCTATAATGTGTTTGTGAAAAAATATTCTCTTTTCTCCAAATCTCTCTATTCTTTCTGAAGGTTGGATCTTTTTGAAAGTTTGATTTATTTTCCGTGGGTATTGCTTTTTCTACAGATAATGTTTGGCAGATGGTTTTATAGGCGTAACTGAATGGTTAAAATGAACTTGTTAATCAAGTCAACCAGGTGGCAGAAGATTGGGCCGTGGATGTTGCCATGATATATTGAGTCTGTTTATCTGATACATGGTGTTGGTTATGACAATCCCAAGCTCTCAGGATTTAGTAAGGGAAAGAGTTGATATTTCCAACATATTTCTATTTCCTTTTTTGCCAATTATTCGATGCCAGACACATCTCTCGTTGACGATGACTCAATGAAGAATACATCAGATCTCCTTTCTGATTATACACAGAATTTGGTCACGTTTGGCATATAAGTGACCTTGATCATCTGAATCTATAGTAGGAAGATATCTCTTATATAGACAGATGTATCAGTAGGTAAGACAAAACATCATTAGGCAGTTATCCAGGAACACATGAAGGTGGTTGAATTGTGATGGCAAATCAAGCTCCATGAATTCAACATCCTTCCTTTGATTTCTCTATCCAAAAGATGGTATAGAGACTGCAACATAGCTTTAGATCTAGGTTGGCTGGTAGCCACTATAAAGCTTAAACAGTGCTCACAGTGTCAAACCACTTCAGCAACAGCCTCGTTCTCTTCTTGAGCTGATGGTGTAAAGCTTGCCATAGCGTGTAATGGAAGATTCATCCATTATCAATCCATTCTGTTTTAGCTTGAAGTGGTAATGGTGGTTTAAAACACGCCATGAGCACAGCATTGTAGCTATGTAGTGTTTTAGAACTAACAAATTATTTACTTGACTGTTTAAAATCACACTTAGATGTTCATCTTGGAAATTATTTTTATTTGCTGTATATTACTTCCAAGGAAGTATATGTGGCAATCTCTCAAATGCCTTTTGTGCATATCATTTTACAGTATATTGAGTACAGTAAATGGTTGTTGCCATAAATTAATAATAATATTTTGGATTTAATAACTTATGACATAACTTATGACATAATTGTGTCATGAAATAAAAGTAGTAAAAATAAAATATACCTGAAAGGAAGAATCTTTCTTCACACCAATAGCACTGATTTGCATCACAGCTGATACAATTTTTTCCACATTCTTTGCATTCCAAATTGTCATCCACATTGTAAGTCTTTGCAGGACAGTATCTATAGCATCTTGTTTGGAATCTGAAAAAAAAAAGATTATCCCTTTATTACATTTTGTATCAAGTGCTGGTAATACTTTTGTCAGCAGCTAACACTACCATATTTCATTCTGAACTATAAAAGTGATTAAAATTGATTAAGTACCTTTGTGTTAGCACAATGCTAGTTTTAACCACACTCCTTATTGCAGAAGCAGTCTGGCTTAAATACACCATATAGAGAACTGCTATCATTGTGGAATGCAATGATTTATATGATGGTTCTGATAAAAATATTCAATTTAATTTTAATATCCTGGCATTTTGATAATGCGCTTGCTAATTTTCCTGGAAATTGTGCTTCAGAATACATAACCACCATATCAAATCAAAAGATGAGATTTTTTTTCTTCCTTAAGAATATTAATCTTAACTCATTAAATACGCTGGCAGAATGGTATTAGAACAAATTTAATCAAAATATTTATATGCGTTACTTGTGCAAAATTATTCGTAACACTGCTGTGGAAATTCTTAAATAATGTAAAATAATTAAGAAAACTGTGTATGAACTCACCTGTAAAACCCCTCTCTACATGATGAGCAGTTTCTAGGGTCATCTAAAAAAACAGTCCAAACAGTATTACATGTGGTTTGTTACATTTTCATAACTAACTTCACAATTGTGTAAAAAATAAAAATATTTTAAAATATGGCACATTCTTGATACATTTAAAACATGTTCATTTTTTGTTGTATGTCACTTCCAAATACAAAATAAGAGAACACATACAGTATATTCAATATACAGTATATAGTTTCTAAAGAAAGTCTCCACACCCTTTTAAAAATAACACATTTTGTGGTTTAATGGCCCGACATCACACAACAAGCTAATTAGCCCTTAATTGTGTTCATCTGCAGTGATTGTGATCATTTCAGAATAAATTGAGAGCTGTTCCTGTAGGTCTCCTCTAATGTGTAGTGCATCTCAAAGTAAAGAGTATATTATGGGCAACGAGGAGCTATAAAAAGAGCAAAAAAATAAAGGCCTTTAAGATCCCTAGGAGCATGGGGAAATTGATTATTAAGAAGTTGAATGTGTATAACAACACCAAGATTTTGCCTATATTAGGCTATCTATCCAGACTGGAAGACTAAGCAAGAAGGACTGATCAGAGAGACTATCAAGAGGCTAATGTCAACGTTGAACGAGCTACAGGTTTTTATAGCCAAGACTGGTCAAACTGTGCGTGTGACCACAATATCCCAGGCATTCCATAGACATATGGCAGGAGGACAAGAAGGAAGACATTACTGAAAACAACAACATTCAAGTAACACTGCAAACATGACAAAATGTTTTGTGGGCTAAAAAAACTAAAATGGAACTGTTTTACCTAAATGCACTGAACAATATTATACTTTGGCACAAACCCAACACAGTGCAAACAACCCCATCTCTTTTGTGAATAATGGTGGTGGCAGCATCTGAATGTTTCTCATCACTAGGAACTGGGGTACATGTCAGGATGGAAAGGAAAATGAATGGAGCAATGCACAGAAAAATCTGTGAAGAAAAGCTGCTGCCTTCTGGAAGAAAGCTGAAACTGGCACGGACATTTACCCTTCAGCGTGACAACGACTCAAAGTACACATCCAGATCAACAATGGAGTGACTAAAGCACAAAAGGATAAATGTCCTTGAGTGGCCCATTCAGAACCCTGACCTCAATTCAATTGAATATTGAGCAATTGAACAGTTCTCTAAGGAGGAATCTAGTTGTACTGCAGTATAGACCTATCCAAACAGAATTATAGCTGTAATTCAAGCAAAGGGTGTTTCTACGAAGTACTACCTAAGGGGTGTGTACTCTTATCCAACCCATAATTCTTGGTTTTCATTTGTAATTACTTTTCAGAATGTTTGAGCATTAGTTTTTCACTTGAAGGTGAGGTGTGTGTCATGATGAGTAAGGGTACAATTAATTCTGATTTAATGTGTATTCATTTCAGGGTGTTAGACCGCAAAATATGTAACTTTGGAAAGGGTGGTTAGAATTTTTGCAGGCTCCGTATTTATTGTATGTATTTGCAGATGGAGCCCTTTCAATGCAAAAGTGGCATTCCTCTTTTATTTGTGAAAAGGTTGGCTATTGTCCTGCCATTATGAAATGAATACTTACATTAGAAATGGTGTGGCAAAGGGAAACCAAATTATGCATTTAAGTAGAATATGACAACACTGTTTTTAGACCTAAACCGAATGGTTAAAAAATAACTTTTTAATCTGGATCAGATTTTGTTTTTGTTTGCAGGTATGTGAGATTACCTCTTATTCTTATGTTGTGTATGTACTGTATAAATGTTAATGCCAGTTCTTGATCAAGGGAAATTGTTGTTGTTTAGGAAGCTGTGCGATTATGAAGCTATTAAAGAGGGAGGTGACTGGTATTGTGTCACTTGTTGGTAGATTAGATATGTTCAGATAGTACTGTAATCAGCTACTGAAACTGTTAATAAATTCTGTACTGCTGACCTGCCACATTGGTTTTGTACTGTACACTCAGTTGAGAATTTGTGCACTGCTGTCATATGAGTGAGCACGAAACATTCAGCTGCATGACGTCCAGTCAATGACATATGCAAGTAAAAGCCAAAATAGCTTGACATGTCTCATATTAAAATTTACATGGCTATACTTTTGGGGAGTTACATTTTTATGCAGTACTTCATAAACTAACATCACTACAGTGAAACCATGTCTGAATATATGTAAACATTCACACTAGAAATGAAATCCTGACCATACCCATATGAATTCCAATGCACATATTCATGTGGCAATAAAGTCTCTACTAGTAACCATAAAACAATTAAATAAAAAATATTTAATAAATAAAAATAACTTCAATTTACTGAGATGAACCTGGGACATAGCAGAATATTTTTGCCAAATAACAATATAAGCAGAAATTAACTCCAAACTGTAATTAACAATAGAAGAAAGGTGCAAAGTCTTATACTCTGCCTGATGATCTTTAGGCAGATTATTGAAGATTTCAAAGCACTGAAGAACAAGCACTACAGGTTGGGTCAGACAAGATTCTACTTGTGGGTTTAATTATAATGCAAGTAAGAGTTGTAAAGGCCTAACCATAACTGCAGGGCTCAGCTACAGAAAAGACCTAATAAATTTTAACACTCTCATGCAAAAGAAAAAGATAAAAAGCACTGTAAAAGTGCAGGAAATCATTGATATATCCTGCTAAGTAAAATAACAGGTTGTAAAATAGAATATGATAAAAACTTCAGAATGTAGCATAGTGAATAAACCTGCTTATTACTCCATAAGCAGTATAAAAAAGACAACTCCATGATTACATCTCTAACACTAAAGCTAGTTTTTCAAACTGGACATTGCCAGTGGAGGTTTGTTTTATAAGGTATCAACTTTAAAGCCAGAGACTTCAAATCTACGTATGACATTCCTTACAGTGAAAATGACACATTGGTGTTCTTTGAGTGATTTTATCAAATCAATTAGACCTGAATTTGTTGCCAACATAATAAAATGTGTGAAGCCTAAACAAAATGATTGTAATAACTGTTTTCATTCGAGTGATATAAAATGGAAGCCTCAATATACTAGACGTTAAGAGATTTAAGGACAAAATGTACAGTATATTTATTGATTAACATCTGTTTAGTGAGAGGCCAGTGCTGAAAAAATTATCAGTTGCGCCCAGGCTGAAGGACTTCATATAAGCACTTTGATCACGATAATGGACACAGCAGTCTATCTTTTTCGAAAGAATTATTGCAATTCTTATCTTCAGGGCTGTGCTTGAATGAGGACAGGGTACTCATATTGTGGGTATAATCTCATTTCATTATTTTCTGTATATTGAATATAAATTGAACACAACAGTGAAAATTAAACTGCATTGAATAAGCAAGACATTCAATTTGAACAACATGAACACATTTCATGTTAACTTGTGCTAGGCAAATTCTTGTTCACTTTTTGAGCATGTGCAATCAATTTAACTATCAATGAAGCAGAAAACCCTATTTGAGAAGGTTTTGTGGACTTCCTAGACTAGTAGCTTTTCAAAAAAAGTTCTTTTTGAAGATGTCTGACACTCCTGGGGCTCTCCGGGATTCAACGGGATCAAAACTGACTTTAGGATCAGAAGTTTTAGAAACTGAAACTCTTACGTAATGCACATTTCTGACATCCCTCCTCGCAGGTTTCACAGCTTTCGTAATCAGGATCCTCAACTTCACCTTTACAGACAACAGAGAAACGTAAAAATGAGGGATGAAAAAGTTTGCAGGGATATTCTTATTAGCATGTCTTAAAAATGTTGAAACATAAAATGGTCACCTCTGGAATATACTGTATCATCATCATTTTCTAACTGCTTACTTCTGGTAAAATCCATGCTAAAATACTCAAGCAACAACAAAAGAGTATTTTTACAGTTATGCTTTTTTCTTAAACATCCACATAAAATAGTGTGTGAGGGGCTACAGGACTTTAGGATGCTCCAAATAATCAATTTGTTGTAAAAGTACAAAGGTTTTCTCTGACAAAGAGAACCAGTATACCTATATAGGGTACAACATTGCAGTATGGTGCACAATATCACCAATTCAATAAAAGCTGATTTTCTTGATTCATGCTCTTTTGTTTTGTAAGTTATCTGATATACTATTAATACCTGACATCAATAACAATAACGTCTTTTGACTCTGTGTCACTTTGTTCTTCTACATTTAAATGCAGCATTTGATACTGTCAAAGTCAAAATCCTACTGAATCACATGCGAAATGATCTAGGGATCACTAGTATTTAACTTTGTTGGTTGGGCTCCAGTTTGGCTACCAGGAGCCAGTTTGTGAATCTTGGCTGTGAAATGATTTGTGATATTTCCATAGGGTTCTATGGTGGGGAGCCTTTGCTATTTGGTAATAATGTATTTACATGATGCCTTTAGATTGCTCGGCATCAATGTTTGGTTTCATTGATATAATTACACCACCAACAATAATAATGATTGATATAATTACACCACCAACAATAATAATGATAATAATGATTATGGTGATGGTGAAGAAAATATTTCTCAGTTTTCCTCCCACGGTCCAAAGACATACTGGTATAGCCGGTAGGTTAGTTTGCTTCTGGAAAAATTGGCCCTGGGTGTGAGTGCGTCATGTCTGTGTGTCTGCTCTGTGATATTCCAGATGTACTCTGACCATAAAAAGGCCACAGGACATGAATGAGTACATTTGTTTTCTTAAGCAAGTCTGACCTAGACCATGTTCCGAATACTTGCGTAAGGTTCTGCACCCCAATAGTATATTATGTTTCATTAATGTACAGTATATCAAGTGAAATACAACAAGGAGCTCACCTTCTCCACATTCTTGCTTTTCACATTTTCCATCAATATGACGGAAACCTGAATCACATTTTAAACATCTATCTGCTCTAGTGCACACTTTGCAATTTGCGGGACAGGGCTCGCAGGTTTGTTCTATAGAGTGATAGTAATGCTCAGGGCAGGATTCTTTGCATTCTCCTTGGAAGTAGTAGCGATCGTTTCTGTGTTTATCTGTAAAAAAACACAAAAATATAATAGGTGGACATTAGAATCAATGTATTGCTTAAGATGTTTTGCTATATACAGTATAATAAATATCGTGATAGGATGACTGGTTCAGACAAAATGGCCGTTCTTGTTTATGTTCTCCTGAAAGCTGTGGAGAATAACTTGCCACCCTCAGTCTACTGACCAATTGATGGAGGACAATAAACCAGTTTAAATTAAAAAAAAAGGAAACAGAGGATTCCAGTGTCTGTTCTGATCTGCTGTCCGAGAAGAGAGCACATCCTCCTTTAAGTGTTTGCACCAGAGGTAGAGAAGATAAGAGATTGTTTTTTGTATCATTGTGATTTAGAGAAGAGATTTGGAGAGACACATCTGAGTTCTGATTTTATTTTTTTACGGACAGAGTTGTTTGAGAGCCAGTAAGCAGATTAGCTTCACAGCTGTACTGGGACCGATGAGGAACAGAAGAAGTCTAGTTAGAAACTCAAAGAAGGGATTATGCTTTTGTTTTGAAGTTTTGGCTTATTTCCTCTCACTATAAAATAAAGTGCTCTGTTGTTTTACTTGGTGGCTGCATTTATGTTTCTTTTTTTTCCCTAACACCCGCTTATTTAAAGATTGTATCCAGGTATCCTACTGTATAATATGTACTGAAGTCAATTAAAAAGAGAACATAACAGTGTAATTAGCCATAAAACATCAACATGAGAACAAGGGAGATCGGAAAATGATTTGGTATCTTATTAGGTTTCAAACAGTTCACATTAACATTGATCACTAGTATCCATAATTATTCAAACATTATTCCGAAGTTATGTTACAGTAAGACCCGAGATTTGAAAAATCCTTAAATATTTACTGATTTTTTATTCCTTTATTTTACCCGGTTGGTAAGTTGAGAAGATGTTCAAGTTTACTGTAGCAATTTAAATGAATTACCTTGCGCAAGACTGTAACAGCTGCATCATTACTGTAAAAGTTAGTAATTTTTTTTAAAATCCCTACTTAAATATTTAGGGATTTCATGAAATCCCGGGTTTCTTACTGTAACACATAGAGCCTGCTGAGTAGTGTCTGCATGCCTAAGCATCTGCTGTGCTTGATCTTTTCCTGGCTGTTTAATGTTTTCAGTTTTACATAACAATGCTGGATGAAGGTGCTTTTATGATGAATACATTTCTCTTTTCCTAGTTAATCTAAAATAATAAATAAAATAGTATTTTCCTATCTTCACTATCTTCTTTTATAAGTATTATTCTTTTTTAATATATTTCATGATATGAATCTTTTTGAGCTACGTAGTACCAAAAGGCATGGACTCCTTGTGCAGGAAAATTCAGTGTAATCTAGGTTCTGAAAGGATAATGTCATTTTCTGTAACATGTTCAGTACTAAATGAGTCCTTTTGCATAGATACACAGTATTTACAGAACATACAATACATTTAAAACTGTATGTATTTGCTGTCTGTATTGTATCCCTATATATTTGCCATGTACTATGTCTATTTCTGTCCTCTGGTGCCCTGTTTCGATCAATCCAAAAGTAAAATACAGTTTATTATTCAGACATGTTCTATTAATTATAAAAAGCTTTCCATTATGGGTGTAATGTTACAGACTTTTTAAAATGTTTCAGAAGTCTAAGCTTTCCACTCTTTTTCTCAAGTCATATAGATCTAATTATTTAGCGTACAACATAGTTGCCTCTTGTTTTTCAGATCTAGATAGTAACACACTGTGAAGCCAGTTGGCCTCACATTGGAGCAAAAAGATCATTTGCAACAGTCCAGACATAAATGTTTCTAAAGGGCAAAGAAATGAAAGCCAGAATCTTTAATGCTTTTGCAGAGAGAATTCACTCTTTAGGAGCCAGATCTGGAACTGGCTTGATTTGTTTTGAACAATATTTTAAACTAATTAAAGACAGATATTTTCAGTGCAAAAGATAATTGTCCTATGATTATTGTTCTAAGTCTACATTATTATCAATATGGGTCATTTTTAGTATAGTGCAAATTGCTTCTTTGATATATCCTTGAACTTGAACTGTATTGCCATATGAAACCAGTACATATACTGGTACAATGGAATTCTTACAGAAAGTCTCTTGATTGTTAAAAAAGTGTAAAAACACATAGTATATATGTGTTTTTAACAGTATCTTGTATCTTGTACAGTATCTTGATGCACAGTATCTTGTATCTTGTACAGTATCTTGATGCATAGTGCAGACAATGCATCAAGACAAACATATATATATAATATACAAACAAACAGTAGACAATGTACAAGTAAACAGTAAACAGTTTGAATGTAAACAATGCAGACATGTAAACAGTGACTGCAGATGTGCAATAAATAAGAAATCATAAAGAGGTAGATGGTGTAGGTGTGGTCTGAGGGGCATGGCCAAATGTGTTCATCAATCGCACTGCTTGTGGGTAGAAGCTATTGAAGAATCTAGTGGTAAGTGTCCATATGCTCTTGTATTTCTCACCTAAGAAACAGTCATTCTGTAAAGTGGTTTGAGAAGCCACCTTTAAAGGCGCTATATAAAATAAAGTTTATTATCATTGTTTATTATAATACTTTGGTTTCTTTCAAGAAATGTCTGAATCCTTGGATACCAATAGTTGATAACAACTATCAATTAAGTACCAAATGGGCTCCATGTGCTGAACAGTCTCTTTTGGTTCATAACTGTTCTTATGTTCTTAACATCCTTAAATATTTTTGTTTTTAGTCTTGTGCAACAGAGCTAATTGCATGCAAAATCCATGCCTTCACCTGTATCACAGCTTGTGCAGTTGTATGGTTCTCCATCGTTGCATTCTTTGCAGGTGTGGTGGCACTTGTGGCACTGGCCATTGAATGGATATTTCCCTTTTGGGCAGGAAATTAAACAGTGTCCACCATCAAAATACCTGAGGAAAGATTCAAACTCATGAGTTATCTCAGTCAAAAGTCAAAAAGCTTACATTTCTCATTTATAGAACTTTAGCTCTCATGGATGCCAACCGATTCCAACATTTGCCCATTTTGAAGCTTGACTTTAGTCCCAAAATCACGACAAAAAACAATTAACTCCATTAGTTTGATTTCAATAATGGAATGCAGTCTTCACTGATGGGGAAGTACCATGTCACTGACCACTTCACAGCTAATATGTGATTCTGTCATGTTTCACTGGTCCTCCCTTCTTTGTTTAGAAGCTGATTATGCCTCTTTTAGGCTTACTGCTGATATAGAAATTGAGCTTTTCCTGGCTTTCACTTTTAATTAATTGGATTGACATGGATAAACATGGCTTTCATTTATTGATTATGCTTTCAGCTTATAATTTGGATTTGAATCTCTGCACCATGAAAGAATTGCCTAAGAGATAGATTCTTTCCCCTCTCTTGATTTTGAATCAGTTACTCTCTGAGTAGCAAGTAGTAAATTGTTTATGTGAAGCGTTAGCAAACTCTCGTGAAGAGTTTGAGTGAACCCCCACTTCTTGAAGTTAGATGCTCAAAAGAGGCACTAACTAGCTTGTAGTTGTTTTGAATGTTCTTGACTCAAGAACCTTAGCCCAGCTTCTCGGAAACCTATGCCCTCGCTGTCAGATGACATTGACTGTCATTGATGATTTTTTGACAGGTTTATTCTTGGGAGTATCAGAAATTATTGGGATGCAGTCCTCATCTCTAGTACTGCTATTCAAGCCCTTTGTTATTCCATTCTTAATAATTGAAACTACACTGTGCTTGCAGTGACCCTAAAAGATTTGACTGTCCATAATATTCAGGATTTTTTGGATGAGATTCGTACATTCTGCCATTTGAAAATTTGATGTGGAGTGGCTTGTTATTGTACATGATAAAGGTGATGACGATTTTTTTTAGTAGTCAGCTATTGTTGCAAAGGTACAGAGTCCTACAATTTTAACCCACTGCAAGACTACATTTTGCCCGGCCAAGAAGCGCTGAATATCGCAGAGCCTGCTTCTTGAGGTGTTTTTGGCTGATGTCCTTCTCAGCCAGCGGTGGAGGCCAGAACCCTTAACTCAGCTAGCTTATGCGCTAAGCACAAGTCCACTGCCACTCACTGGTTACATCTGGTCCATTTTTTGGGGCAGACTGTTGGAAGCAGTTTGACAGCTCATATGGTTTTTCACTACAACCTGTAGAGGGACTGCTCCCAGGAGATGATGATGTGTAGTCTTGAGGATGGGGTAACATCTTATCACTTTCTTTTGATGAGCTCCTCATGGAATTCACAGAATGCTCTCTCAATGGCTCAGAATCTGGCCCTCTCTAAAGTCCTCTATTCTCTCTAAAGATCTTCATTTTCTGTTAGGACACTTGATGGAGCTTCCTTATCTACGGCAAAAATTGAGTCTGCATTGACAGTAATACTGTAGATTATTTAGGTGGGTAACTGCATCAGCATGCGTAGGCTGCAAAGGAACAATAGGTTTATTCCATGCTGCAATAAAGAGAGCTACATACTGTAAATACAAGTATGCTGAAAAGAGAAAAGAGAAGAAAGAAAACACAATTTTTCAGCCAAAACATTGTGTTTTTTTTCTTCTCTTTTCAGCATACTTGTATTTATGTAGCTCTTTTTATTGTAAAGGATCTCACTGTATTTTACATATTGGAGGGGACCAGCTTCATCCACCATTGTGCAGCACCCATTTGGGTTAAGTGTTGCATGCACTGTATGTTCTCAGCCTCACTGTATAGCAGATAAGAAGGAGAAATAAGAAGTCACTCTGCCAATTGAATTAAGCGGGAACTTCAGGTTGGTCACATTGTTCACGAATGAAATTTGATTGGGGTTAACACAACTACTCTTTTGAACTATAGTTTTACCATTGATGGTGTTGAAATCTTTCAGAGTACTACTCAGCAAATGGATCTTGGTGTTATCTTTCAAGACTTGCATTTTAACCTCATGTTTGAAATGTTTTGAAGGTGGCTTTTTTCATTTCTGTAACTGTGCTCACATTCAGTCACATCTCTATTTGTATCATGAATCTGATACAATTAAAGTGATGTGGCAGTGTGCCATTGGATTGATCTTACATACTGGATGAAAAAAGATCAGTGATGTGACATTTCCGCAACGGTAATGACTGCATTCCTCTTCAGGGATGCAGGACTATGAATTCAAAGCTTTGTGAAGTGGGTAAATCATTATAGCTCCACTGAAATTTAGACATAAAATGACTACCCGAAAGGTTACTTGGCTAGTAAATGTTAAGGCTGAAGTTGTCCCTACTGTCAAGGAACCTACCTTGTTTTAGTACAACTAATGCAGTTGTCTTTATCTGGCCCTGTACATTTGTAACAAGTGGCGTCACACAAATGACATTTTCCTTGGTCATCTAGGTACTGACCTGGCAAACAGAAAAATGAAAACATATATCTCTCTTCTGCATTAAATACCTTACCTGTAACATGTTAATATGTACTAACAGTCCACAACATTAGTTTTCTCAGATTATTGCTAAATTATGTTAGGAATAATTCACAGAATGTTTACCTTCAACCCGCATTGTTCATACATTTTGAAAAAGCAAGATAAAATAGACAAAACAAAAAATACAAAAAGTAAGGAATTAAAAGAACGGCTTTGCTTGGGAGATCAGTTTGATACAACAATTGCTTTTCTATTTTACTGCATAGGAATGGTCAAAAAGAAAGACTTGAAGAAACTATTTATTCCACTCTAATCCCTAGCCAAGTGTTAAACGTGGTAATTGAGGAATGAATGCCTGACTCACGAGACCAGGCAAAAAACTTTCATTGTTTTCCAACTTCAGAAATATGGCAAGCAAACGTTCATCCTGGAAAATGGAAATCTGCCCTTCATGTCAGAATCAATAGATTCAGTATAACGCAAGACAGACCTTTGCAGGAAAATGTCATGCTCTGGTTCCACTTCAAACTCAATAGCAGTGATTTTCAAGGAAAGGCAGTTCATTGACATGCAATTGTCAAATTTATCAAATCACTATTAGCATCTATTTGTATTTCTCTATAACAATGAAAAGTCTGGAATATGTAAAACATCCCGTCCAAAGGAGAAAACAAATGTTTCATAAGTCTGTCCCATGATTCCCTGTTCTAAGCCAATCAAATAAACATATTATTTTCAATTCTCAGACATAGAGTGTGAGTAGTTTTATAACTGTACTTAATTGTACTAGTTCAGGTGGGTAGCTGCGTCAGCATCCGTAGGCTGCAAAGGAACAAGTAATAGGTTTATTCCATGCTGAAAAGAAAGAAGAAAGAGAACACAACGTTTTGGCCGTGGAGCCTTCTTCAGACACCTGAAGAAGGCTCCATGGCCGAAACGTTGTGTTCTTTTTCTTCTTTTTTTTCAACATGGAATAAACCTATTACTTGTTCCTTAACTGTACTGTACTTTTCAAACATGTTGCTCCAATATTTTGCTAAACTGCATTAATTACTGCTATGGAATTTACTTCAACAACTCACTGCATGTTGAAATTACCTATAAGTGAATTGTAGATTTTTTAATAAACCATTACAGTTAGAAATTGCATAATTCCATAACTTGTGAGTATCTTCCTGCTAGTACACAAACATAAACTGCATCACCTTCTAATCCTGTGCCTGTCCAACCCTGATGTAACTACAACAAGAGGAGACCCTATTGCAGTTGGACTAGTGTATTTCTTTAGAGGTGCTGACATATTGAAATTTTGTTTTATATGACAGGAATTCAGTACATAATGTCAATGCATCAAAAAAACATATTATTCAAAAATGAGCTAAAGACATTTGAAGAATTGCGTAAATCTTGGATGCCTAAAGCATGACTGATGAATGAAAGTTGCTATTCTATGAATTGTAACTGAGATGTAGTGAGTACCTTTTGGAACCACTGTAGAAAAGACATATACAATGAACATCTTCTTCACTCTTTTGGTGTGAATTTTTTTTTTACAATAAAAGTACAGTGTACTACCTTTAAGCTGCATGATATGCACTATAACATACAAGACCTCCCTCAGAGTACAAAGAAAATAACATCTCTCTAATGTATTCCAAAGATAAAAAAACTTGTGTATTTTTAAATCTTCACTTGCAGTGGTCTTACAAGACCCTTCCTGTGGTGTTCCATTTTGGAAACTTCCATTATGATGCATACATGTTTTTTAAATTTGATATTGTATTTAAAATCTAAATGCTCAAACTTAAAACTTCCAAGTGTAAGATAAATTACAGTTAACCTCAGCAAATATTTAAAACAAAAACGAAAATATGTTCACTACATAACTACTCAGACCCGTGAGCTCAATAACCCTCTACCAACTTTGCACACTGGCTTGGTGCAATTTTTCACAGTACAGCTTCTAGTGCTTTGGACCATCACTCTGCTGAAAAGTGAATTTTCACCCATTTTAAGACTTTGGCAGATGAAATAGGTTTTCCTCTAATATTTGCCTGTACTTTGCTTCATTGATTTTTCCCTTCAATCTTGACAAGTTTTCTAGTTCCAGCTGAGGAGAAGAATCACCAAGGCACAGTGCTTTCACCACCATGCTGAACTGTAAGGATTGTGTTGACTGGGTGATGCACTGTGTTAGTTTTTGTGCCAGATGAAACAGTTTGCAATTTTACCAAAAAGTTAGTTTGGCTTTGTCTGATCACACAACCTATTGCCATGTTTGCAGTGTCACTTAAATACTTTGTTGAAAGCTAGATGAAGTATTTATATAGGTTTGCCACTCTGCTGCACAAGCCAGCTTTCCGAAGTGACCAGTGGAACCTTTCTCCCCAGCCACTGAAAATCATTATAAGTAGTCACTGGTGTCACAGTATTATTCCTCATCAGTTATTCCTGTCCAGCTGCTCTATTTGGAGGGACAGCCTGATCACATATAACCGCAATACATTCCGATAGGTATTATCAGGGAAATGGCGATCTTTTTTAAAGGAGGTGCACTGATATTTTATTGAACAGCAAGGTGAATTCTTTATACTGATTAACATTTGAATCACAGTCCGTCTCCAGTGAATTAGAAACAAAACAAGCTGTATAACTGCAATGCATGCTTTGCACCAGGTTGAGGATGCTGTCTTCTGGGATTCTGTCCTATTACTCTACTAAGTGCCACATACCATACTAGCACAAGTCTGGCAACTAGGGGATTCATGACATAACTGTCACATTCTCATCTTCACAAAGAAAGTATTTTTACAATAGCAGTATGAGGACGTTTATAGTCCCGCTGGAATGTTGTCTCATCACAGTGAGCCCACAAAAAGGATTCCAGGTGAAAATACAGGGCTTGATCAAATGTTGAGCCATGCAGTCAGATTGCCATCAATTACAGGTTAGAATTGCTCACTGATTTTTTATTCCAGCCCTGAACATCTGAATGTTTTGAAAGGCATTGATCTCTTCTTCAGCAGGACATATTGTGTTTCTGTGTTTTTCTTCCTTGATAACCTGCAGTCTTATCAGGACAAATCAACTCCTAACCTGTACTCAAACAATTCTCATTTTAATGTACTTATGAAACAAAGTGAATCATGGTCAATCATGATCATGTTTGTTTCACCTTGTAAAGGTGTCTATTTTATCTTTGTAACATTGCACATATTAATAAACCTATCTTCCAAAGTGATGCAAAAAAAAAATCTAAAACATCATTGTGTCTTTTCCAGAGTGAATTATTGCAGTATTTTCTGATTTATCTAAACATTTTTTTTTACGGTCCATGTTTAGAACTCAGCTGATCAGATTTCAAATTGAATGCATAAGTATATATCACTTGTTAGTGTCTCCTTGCACTTGCTCACTTTTAAAAGCTTGAAATACATTGAATAGAATAGACCCCTGACTACATCAGTGAGCTGTAATTCCCTATACAGATCCAAATGATATAGTGCTTTTTAGACTATGGATTTACTTAATTTTCCAGGACAAGGCTTCAATCCCAGCTGACTTTGCTCTCTATTCTTCTGTTCCAAAACTGGAACGATCACTTAGTCAATATCTTACAAGTCAGTGAGTCTTACAGCTACTGTTATATTTTTATTAATTGCTTGATGATGTATATTCTAAAATAAATTATAATTGACCTGTTTCTTTTGTTTAAATGTGTTATTGTAAAGCACCTTGCAATACAGTAATTCTGATATTAAGCTAAAAATATGTAATCAATATCCAGAATCCATATACTTTATTTTTCTGAAAATGTGGAAGTAAAACTAATGCTTTCTTTTGAAGCTCTCTCTATATTTCTTTCTCTATAACATTTATCTATATTTATATTGTTCAGATTTAAACGTTTGCATTTAATTTCTGCTGTAATATAGAATTAATTGAATGGGAGACCTTATAGATTACACCAAATATCCAGATACTGATTCTCATTAGTTTTGTGTTTTGAACATTCATTAATACAGAACATTAACAACTATATAACAAAGCCAAACTTTAACAATTTTCTTCAGTATATATTGAATATTGAAATATCAAGCCATTAAAATTTTTACTTTCAACATTTATTTTAAGTTCTGAGGAAATCAGGGAATGACAAAAGAGAACATCATATAATTTTATGTAAGTAATATTTATTAGAAACAACCCCAAAAATAATGAATTGTGAGTCATAATCTGGTCAGAGTTCTAAGGAATATATATAAATTGTGTAATGTTTCTAGGAGTAAATGATTAATGACTAATGATTTGGCAAATAGAAATAGAAATCTTGGTAACGGAAGTAACCGAAAAAAATGTTTTATTTAGTATCTGGAGGTAGATAAGAGAAATGACTGGCTAATTTTGAGTTGTGACTTCCCTATGTATGATAGCTAAGTTTTTTGTGAAATCAAATTTAAAAATGTCCTTGCATGGTTTCCTGAAAAATGTCATTCCTATTTTTACTCAGAGACATTTACAGTATAAACATTGGACTGTCCTTTCACGACTCTAAAGTTATTTAATATGAGTCATCACTGGATCCAGTGTAGACAAGGCTATGGGTATATAAAATTGGTAGTTATCAACCTGCATTTTTTTGTGTTACAGTGGCATGTGAAATTGTCCACAGCTTTTTACATTCACAACAACGTTTTTGCAGAGGATCATCAAACCTTCTGAACAAAAGGTGGATTTTTTCTTGTAATAGTACTCTAAGTACTGTAGGTCTCATTCGGTTGTGCTATAGTGCCAAGATTATTTGTGCATGCATCTTCTCAGGAGCTGAATATGCAACAATACAGGGACTGCTAAGCCAAGGTTGGTTTACCATTATGAAAATATTAGTGAACTCTCAAGACAAATGTTTAAAGGAATATTTTGTTATAAAATTAAGATTAAAAAGTAACATAACACGGCATTATGATATCATAATTT